AGGTCTTGCTCAATGTCGTGAGTATCGTCCCAGTCATACCTGCTCTCCCTCCACTCCAAGAGATCACTGAACCGGGCTTGTATAGGGCTCCCAAATTCAGGCTCTGAAAAAGCCTCCCATAACAAGCCAGGACCATCAAACTCCTCTCCCTCTGGTTTGTCATGCTCGGCTGTCCAGGGCAGGTACTGTGCCCCATACCACCAGAGCGCCTGGTAGGCATCTTCCAGCCAAATCTCCTGCCATACCCGGTGCTCCAATTCCTTCACCCATTCATCCAGGGGCTGCTCTCCCAGGAAGGGCATCCGCAGGGCCACTTGCTTCTGCAACCGCTGCTCTTCACTGGGGAGACTCTTGCCCCGCTGGTATTGTACATTATCCAGGGCCTGGTACCAGATGCCTTTCCTTAATGCATCCCGGCCATCCTGGTCCTCCTCCTCGTATGACACTGCTGGTTCCATTCTGTTGCTGTCAGGGTCGCTGTACTCAGACATGCGTTGCCCTCAAATTGTAAATCCACGGAATGGTGTTGCCTGTAGCTGTCCTGTAGTCTGTGGGAACGATCCCGCCGCTTGCCACCAATTGTAACGGACCGCCCACAGGGAGGTATAAAACACCCAATCACATCACAGTTACATCCCACATATTCCCTCCCCTTATCCTGAGAGGAAACTCAATTATACATACAGTTAAAACATACTTTCTACCCAACTTTCATAACTCTAAAACCATACATCACATTCACATAAAATTACAAATACACAATCAATCCATTCAGGGGAACAACATATTAAAAAATGACATGAATCAGACCAGGGGTTCAAAAGTTAGTAAAAAGTCCTTTGTGACTAAATGAAGCATGGCTTTCTGGCCCAAACCAGTTTCAGAGTCTTCTATCCTGGAGAGTAATTCAATTATCTCCCAGGACAGACACAAGACTCCATTAAGCACATGGTTGCAAAAAGACACAAAACACTTTAAAATACATAAAGTAACATTTATTACATAAAACACAGACATGTAACATATCCCCAGATAGCTCAGGTCCGAGCGCACATTATTAAGCGAATGGCGCTCAGACCACACGAATACAGTTTAATCGCCATGGAGCCAAAGTTTTTACAGTCAGTTTCATACGAATGGGCTCCATGGGATTCCTATCTGGGGTATAACACATTCAAACAAATCTACCGAACCCCAGGCAGAAAAGCACGAATGAAGCTTTTCTGCAGGTAAAAAAAGATGTCTTTTAAAAGGGGGCCATAGTCCAAAGGCAGCAGGCGAGCAACCAGGCTTCTCCAATGCAATGTGGCGAGATTGGTCTCGTCACACTACTTAACCTCTCACCACTCAATTTATTTAGTGAATTTTCTGACCAATGATTTCTCACAAGACTTTCACACAGGTCTCATATCATTCCCTAGAGGCACCTTTGAATGCAATAATCTACAGTCTGCCTTACACTAACCACTTACAGTAGGTTTACTACTACAAAAAAAAATAGACAATGGTTTCATGCTGGGTCCCTTTAATCACCACCTTTTGCATGTTGACGAACTAATCTATTGGTATAGCTACAGGCATATTCAGTAACAACAAGAGGATGATTATTGACCTTTCCACATTCAGTAGCCACACCCAGCATGAATTAATTAATTCCATCAGAAGAATTTTCACTCCATTGTACAGCCGTGGACAAGGCCATAAAAGACATTTTAAAAGCAGGAAAGTCAGCATGGCTTAGTAAAACCGATATCTCTAACACTTTCACACTGCTTCCTAAACACCCATCTCTATGGCATTTACACGGTGCTAAGTGGAGAAAAAAAAAACTATTTTTAAACCAAACTAACATTTGGTTCTAAAAGCAGCCCCAAAATATTTCACATATTTGTTGAAACACTTTGTTGGCTTCTCCTTAACATCACTAGATGCCCGGACTTCTTATCAATAGAAGTTTACATATTTGTCACCACAGAGCATTCCCAGCATCACAGCCCTGTTTTCAAAATTAGGGGTCCCCTTATACAAAGATAAAATGATAGGCCCCCTCGGCTAATCTTTTCTTTTTGATGGATTCCGTATTAATGCAATTGAGTCTCCAAGAAGACAAGATTCAGAAGATTCGGTGGGAATTGGACAGATTCCTATCCCTAAGCTCTTGCACACGCAAGGATCTTCAGTCCCTCCTGGGTTTAATGAACTATGTTTTGCGTATTATACCACAAGGATGTTTATTCATCTCCAGGCTTCTTTGTCTCCTACCCAATCTTTCTGATGACAACAGTATTGTAACCAACTGATCTCAAAATGTGTGAGTAGTCATAAACAATTGGAATGGCAAGTCAATCCCCCCCTTAACACACCAATCCCCAGTCACATGGACAGATGCTGCTGTCCAAGCTGGATATGCCACTATATACAACATGCTGTGGTTTAGAGACACATGGCCTCTAGAAACCCTCCAATTACCATCCTCAGCACTATTCTAGGTTAACCTTAGATTAGCTGCAGCATACACATGGGGTAAACTAGACTGCCTATGCAAACAATTAGCATAGGCAGCATTATCAGACAATACCAGAAAACTTACGACAGAGCCTTGATGATTTTTAAAGAGTTTATAACCGACTAACACATTACTGAAACTTTTTTTTTTTAATCATTCTTTATTTTTGTTGTGCAGGTAGGTACATTGCAATATCATACGCCACAACAGCGTTCACGTCATATACATTTTAAGCAGTGGCACGATTATCTGCACATTATTTTTATGATACGTTAACATGAACTTAAACATACAAAAGTTTAGCGTAGTTTAGAGGTGTTCACGGTAAAATGTGGTGAGTGACTTGCGAGAGGTTTAAGAGAGTCATGTGAGTTTGGCGGCTGCGCTGGGCATAAAATAATAGTATTTTTGTTTGTTTGCTAGGGGTCCAACCTGCGATGTGATTGTTTATAGTGTTATTTAGGTTATGTGTAACCACTTAGTGGGCCTGGGGAGACACATGTAGTGAAATGGATGGTGTATAGCGGAGTAGCTGTACCGTGTGTCTGTGTGCTCTGTGGGCATACCCATTGTGTGAGCGCTGCTGTGCTGGATGCTGTGCTGAGCTAGGGTTGCATGCAGGAGTTGCTTGGTGGTCACTGTATATGTGGGAAGGAAGCCGTTTATTGGATTGTAGGTATATCAGGCTCCAGGCTAAACACTGTCCTGTGTGCCCTGGGCGACCCATCTGGGCACAAATTCTGCCGAGGTTCCCGGGTTCCATCCGTGAGTTGGTCTCTGTGCTGCCTGTGGTGCTTCGATGGTGAGGGAGTGTTGGGGGATGCCAAGTTGCTGCAGGGTCATTGCGATTTTCCGGGGGAACCCGGATGATGTGGGTTGTAGTCCCCGTGGGTGATTGTCAGGGCCCTGGAAGGGCGCCATCTGTAACTGAGGTTATGCTTTTGAAGCAGGGTGGTGAGCGGCCGCATCTCCCTACGCCATGCCAAGGTACCACCGCTCAGATCTGCATAGAAAGTCAAGGACATGTCTTCAAAGAAGTAAGGTGAGTTGCCGCGCAGTGCTTTTAGGAAAGCTGCTTTATCTTGTCCTCGACGAATTGTAATATTAAGTCTCTTGTGGCTGAGGTTGGCGCCCTAGCAGGTTTGGGCACTCTGAATATGCCCTACATTTCTAACGTTTTGGCTAGTTTGGGCGTGAGCAGGGCCGACATTAGTCTCCTCACCATGTGTAGAAACTCTGCATCAGGTACGTTGTCGGAGACCCCACTTACTTTTATGTTGTTCCGGCGGCGGGAGTCCTCAAGGGCGTCTTTTTTAGGAGCAGTTTAGTTGTTGCAGATCCTTGACCTCTTGTTGGAGGGTGGTGATCTGCTGCTTGCATGAGAGTGAGGTGGTTTCTAGTGCTCCTATTCTACCAGTCAGGCCTTTCAAGTCCTGGCAGATTGTGGCCATGTCTGCCTGGAGGTTCTTTTGTAAATCCGCCAGTAGCTCTATCAAGAGCGTGGCTGCCACCGGAGCCAAGTCCGGCTTTGTGGCCAGGATCTGCGGTGGAGGAAGCGTCTGAGCCAGTATGTAGCCCTCTTCGGTTCCACAGGAGAAGTCGCCACAGAGGTCCGAGCAGTCCCCAGTAATGGACGCCATCTTAGGCCCTTGAGCGCCATGAACCTGCTGCCTTAATTCTCCAATGTTCATACCCATTCAGGGAACTTTTCTAGTTTTCTTCCCCATTTGGGTTTAGGACTCCGGGAGAGTTGTCGGGTCCCATAAGTCTAGTCTGGGTATCGGGAAATGGGTTGTTTATCGGCCTTGCGGTCCGGAGCTCCAGACACATGCGTCCGTTCGCTTTGGCAGTCAGACTCCGCCCCCGTACTGAAACTTTTTTAATAGGAAATATGGTAACATTTGCTTCATTTTGCCATATTAATTTAAAATCAACTTAGAACACCATTACACTCGATATGACTGACCTACAACACCATTTACCAACTAACTTTCCTAATACAAAACCTTTCATGCCTACATAACCTATAAAGAATATCTCAGAGGTATACAGACCTCTACTACTTCCAAACAACAACCTATCGACAATGCTAAATTCAGAGCAGTCTCTCATACTAGATACCCAACCAATCGAAAACCATACAAATTCCGTTCTTAAAACGGCAATATATATTGCATTTTACATATTCCTAAGATCCAAAGCATTCACTAAAGAATTATCATCTAACCACGTCTATTATCTTAATATTAAAGGGACACTATAGTCACCAGAACAACAACAGCTTATTGTATTTGTTCTTGTGAGTAGAACCATTCCCTTCTGGCTTTTTGCTGTAAACACAGTCTTTTCAGAGAAAATACAGTGTTTACATTAAAGCCTAGTCATAACTCCACTGGCCACTCCTTAGATGGCCGCTAAAGCTGCTTCCTTGGGCAGTGCTGCAGAGTGTCTCCTTCCTCTTCATGCAGACACTTAACTTTCCTCATAGAGATAAACTAAAGTATAGAAAAGAGAAACAAAAGGTTGAACCATTTAGTAGGTGAACCCCTCTCAATAGCGAGTAACCCAGCTAAAATGTAACTTTTAATAAGTATTATATATAAAATGTAGTGGAAATACTAAGTCTCAATATATAGTAGGAGTAAGCAGAATAAGTATAACTTCTGCCTTTATTAGGATAAATAAATTCCCCCAAATTACATAAAGAAAATTGAGTAAGAATATATTAAGTATAAAAGTAAATGAACAAAAATAAATAATAATAAAAGTAAAATAAAAATTAAAGTCCAATAATATTTTACTGTGAATCAGTGGTAGAAGCTTAAATCGAATACTGCAAGGAGTAGATACAAGGTTTGCAACAAATGTAACTACAGGCTGCAAGTTACATATGCTGCTTGTCTAATAAACCAGAAGGGGGAAGATGGTTACTGATAGAATGTATTGTAGCAAAACTAAAGTCCTGCAAAAGAGCTAAATAGTTTCTAAGGAGAAAAAGCTAATAATAGAAAGACTAGCTCCCCTACTCTGCTGTGCCTTCGAGGGCACCCCTTAAAAAATGCTAGTAACCCCTTCCCCTCCTCTTAGTAAAGTAAATGCAGTTTGTCAAACCAAACTACAGAACGAAAAACAAAAATAATAAAGAAATAGTAAAAAGAGATAAAATAAATCTTGTATGGGTGGTATAATCTAATGGTGTCAAGGCATGTCTACCCTTATCATCTGTACCAACACCATACAAAATAACGTCCCAATGCGCGTTTCGCCATTAGGGCTCTTCCATACCCTGTAATAGGTAGAGGATGTTGAGCCTTTCCTTGTTTTAATTAGCATTCCGATGACAGCATTAGAGAATGCCTTGTCTTTGAGCCTTTCCCTTCCAATCCTTCAGATTGAGGGAGGATGTATTTGGATGAAGACCTTCCCCTGATGGAGGAGAGATGGGATGCCTGGAAGATTCCATGGAGGTTCCTTGCAAAGGGACAGAATAATCCCCACTGTGGATTCTTTTGGAGTAGTCCTCACTGGAACTTAAAATCGGATGCCAGGTAGAAAAAAAAAAAAAAATGGCACACATTTACAGTGGCAAGAGGCCAAAATACCTTTGTTAAAATATCCACAACGCATTTCACCGAAGTGGCTCTCACTTGAGAAAGCCACTTTGGTGAAACGCGTTGTGGATACTATGATCTGACCCCATTCCAGAGGAACTACCTTAACTCTTTGAGGTTTTATTTTCCAGCAAGTTTTACCATTTTAATTCACACTTAGACTTATATTTGAACTTTCTTTTGCTTTTTGTTTGTCCTCCTACATATATAAAGGAGATTATCTATATCTATATCTATATCTTTTAGTTAGGTATAATAGCGCTGATCCTGTTTTCTAATATTATAGAAGAGTTGATAGGACTTATCTAGACCGTTGAAATAAATGTTGGCGATTTAAATGGGAAGAATGATGTCATCCCGCTATTTGCATGCATTAATCAAATGCTGCACATGCACTATATGAATGTCCCTTTCGGGCGCATGCGCGCAAACACTTAAATGTGAACGCTCCGTTCGTATGCATGCGCACGAACAGAAACAGATGACCGCTATCATTCGCATGCATGTGAACATAACTACCGAAAGCAAATATTCACAAGCATGCATGCAAACAGAACAAGCAAACCACATTCTTTGCATGTGCCGATAGGAAGGCAACTAATATGGCGGTTCCCAGAAACTTGGGAACAGCCAAAATAATATAAAATATTGATAAAAAAAGGGCCAAAAGAGGAGACAAAACGTGACTTATTCTAAATTAACGAACAAGAGTGAAAAGAACTGAATAAAATTCAGGTAGGACGGTATTTCCATAATAGTCGAAGTTGTAACTGTCACCAGATTCACACCATTAGATATTGCAAATAGTTTGCTACCCCTAAGGTCACTGAAAATTCTATATATTTAATGAAAGCCAATCCTGCCTGCTACCTCTTGGTCACTTTTGGGGTCTAAAAGCTAGCTGAGCATCATGGAAATGTAGTCCACAAACAATTTATGGTGTCAAGGTTAGCCATCACTGTCCTATAGGGATAGGACAGGAACAAAAAGACTGAGGGATTGGATTTCCATCAAGGAAAACAAGATCTGAAAGCATCTCTCCTTGGAACCCGAACTAGATATAAGGTAGAGGTCAAAGGATTGTCCTTGTCATTTTTAATTTCATTCATGTACTTGCCAAAAGGATAGCTGTAGAATACCCATTGTACAGCACTACGGAATGTGATAGCTATAAATACTAAAATAATAATGCAATGTGTATACATTTTCTAAATATCCTCAGCATAAGAATTTAACTCAATGAGCCATAGTTTTAGCCATATGTTGGCACTTTATAAATACTATCATTGCACAGATGCATTTCCCTATTCCATAGCTATATTGCCTATCTGACCCAAATATCTGTCTCCCACAGACTGAGTTAAAGGGACCCTGCAATGCCCCTCTCCTTCCCAGGTTTATAAAAACCTGCAATAATTTCACTTGCAGGGTTAAGGGTGTTGGGATTTGGCACCCAGACCACTCCAATGGGCAGAAGTGATCTGGGTGCCTGGAGTGTCCCTTCAAGTTTCCGGCCTCAGACATTAACAGAAGGTATTCTCTTTAATCTTTGTCCATGATACTTTGCTCTTTCCAGTTTCTCCTACCTCTCCCAGTGTTTCACTGCAACAACTCTGTTGGTGTCCAAGGTTCTGTCCATGGTCCCCTACAGTTCTTAAAGGAACACTATAGGGTCAGGAACACAAACATGTATTCCTTACCCTATAGTGTTAAAACCACCATCTAGGCCTCCCATAATATATTAAATTACTTTTATTCAAGTCTGCAGCTGCTGGCTCTGATGACAGAAGTGTTGTTCTGAGCCAATCACAATTCCCCATAGGATTTGCTGAGACTGTCAAGGAGGCAGAGCAAAAACAGCATCTCCTCAGATATGAATTGATGCATATCTATGAGGAAAATTCAGTGAGGGTGGAAACACTGAATGGTAGTACTGCACACTGCCCCAGGAAGCACCTCTAGCAGCCATCTGAGTAGTGGCCAGTGCAGACTAGACTAATGTAAACACTGCATTTCCTCTGAAAAAACAAAACAAAAAAAAACCCAGCATTTACAGCAAAAAGCCTGAAGGGAAATTATACTCACCATAACAAATACTATAAGCTATAGTTCTGGTGACTAGTGTCCCTTTAACCTCTCCCTTGGTAAACTTATTTTCTTCTTCAGTTCTATGTGGATGACACAAATCTGTCCTTTCCTGATCTTTTGATATCCCTTCCCAAGGGAAATAAAACACAGGCAACTTTTATACACAAATTTTCCTTTATTATGTTCATGCATAAAAACTATTCTTGATACAATTAGTATACAAGTCAAAATAAAGTAAAGTCACCATCTCATGAGCCACAGCAGATTTAAGTGCATTTTAAAACCGCATATGCAAGCTATTGTGAAACCTCTTTCAGAATCCTTCCTAAATGGAGAAAAAAAAAAAAAAGTCATCAAGTAAATATTCAAGTTAAGAAAACTTTATTTGGACAACAGAAGCATAGTAGAGAATTTAAGGGTCAACCCATTACCACGAATGACATGCATTATGTAGTATTACCTGTAAATGAATGCAGAGGTCACTTGATTAGCCTTGACCATCTGACCTAGTACAAGAAATAAAAAAAAAAGTCATTGTTTTGGTTGTGGAGAAAAAAAAAAACGTTTAAACAAAAGTCATGTCCTCATACAAGAAAAAAAAAAGTCTAATCAAAGAGTATCATAATGTGAACAGCAATAATAAGATTAATCCTTGGACATAACACTCATAAGCCAAGAGTGGTTACATTTAAGTCTGCAAAGTTTGTTTAACAAAGTTACCTTTTAACATGGGATTATTGATCCTGTAAGTGTTTCACATGGATGCCATCAAGCTAGCAAATCCATCTTAGTGGAACGATTAGGTATTTCACCTGGAACAAATAGTATATGTGAATACATGTCCAACAGCAAGTATAAAACAAACAAAAAAGCCCACAAAGACTCCCCTCCAAAAAAATAGACCCAAACTTATTTTGTTAAAGTCAGTTATAACTGTTCAGCATGGATGAATGGATTATATAAATATGTAAATCTAAGACTTTGCACTGAGAATAAATGTATGTTTTTATTTAAACATTTGCAAAGAATACGGATATTACAATCATTAAATAAAATCATAGTCTTGTAAAAACAGGATTAAAAACGCTAATTACAATGACTGACAGATTCTTTGCAGTGTGTGGTTGTGAAGGGGTAGTGTGAGACTGAAGTTTAGGATTGGGTCTGAGAGGGGGAGGATCATTTTAGTTTTAATATATTTGTAAAAATATTTTAGTTGAATATTTTGAGTGTTTCCTTTGTGGTCCCATGGCACTCTAGGTAGGGGGTCTCAATCTTCACCTCTGCCAAGTGTATGCACTTCCTGCAAGATGTGAAAGAGTGTTGCGGTGGTCTCCTCTGCAATTGTCCCCCTCCTGGAGCCGCCACTGCATCTCACACAAAAGCAGAGTAGGTGCCTTCTGTTTTGGGCATACTCTGCATTGCCACCGCCATGCAGGCCTAAGGCTGTCGACCGGCATCCTATGGCTGCGTACCCACAAAGGGCTCGGGTGCCATAGGTTCGCCATCACTGCACTAGTATATCTAAAGCAGCCACTAGAGGCACTACCTGCTGTGTAGCTAGATGTCTAAAGATACTCATAGGGAGGCATTGATTAAATTGTTTATGGGGAAGGCCTAATGTCCATGCGGTGCTCACTGTACATTAGTTTCCCCCTCACGATGGCGCCTGAAGCTTTGTGTAAGTAGAACTTCTATTTTTACTCCATTCCGATCCTGCATTGAAAGCAGCTGCAATGAAGCAGTCTTGCAGATTCTCTCCATGCTGCTCTCACAGTGTGCCCATGTACAATCTTCCTTAGGCTGACAGACCAGCATTACTTTCCCTTTTGCTGAATTCAAGCAGTAGAGCTAACCAGAGGACTGTTTCCCTGAACACATACAGATCATAGCATTCTTATCTCTGGTCATATGAACACATTTGCCAAATAATTGAGGGGGGGGGGATTTTTTTAAAACCATAAGGTAGTTTTATGCTAAACATTACCTAGTTTGAAGAACTCCTGCTTTTTAAATCCATGCTCAGATTATTCACATCATCCTGAGGGAACAAGAGAAATCGTTTTAATGTAAACAAAATAATTAAAAATATCAGAAAGTATTGGGTTTTGCATATGAAAATTACATTTTCTACAATAAATAAAAATTATTTTAATTTATGATAAGCGAGAGTGCATTTAAAATGGACCACCATCCATAGTCCTCTGCCAAGATACATTAATCACTTTATATCATGATGTGAACAGCAGTAAAATGCTTTCTTCATTGGACAAATGGTGGCAATGCAACACCTTTTTAGAAATGCCTACAGTTTGCTGCTGGCATTAAGAGACAACTCAAACTATTACCTGGCTTCAGTTGTGCACTTATCACCAAGTGGTTTTTCATATCTGTTAAGATCAAAAGTAGGAAGAACACCATAATTGACGATGGTCTTGAAAACACACAGAGCTTGGAACACAGTTTGTCCAGTTATTAAGATAGCCTGTTCTTCCATGGAGAACCTGAAAATGGAAGTCAATCATCAGAAAATGCTGTGGCACGAGATTTAAAGATTTGATAAAATACGTAGTTTCAATATGCATTACCAGGAATTCTTACGTCCTCATAAACAAAAGTGTCTTAATCACAGACATTCATGATGTGAACAGCAATAAGATTTAATCATTGGACGCAGAGTTATATTAAAAATAAAATGAAAGTCACAGATAATATGGCGTGGCATCAGATAGTGGGGAAAGCAGCAAGGAAGACCTCGCCCCGCACTAGATTCAAGGTTAATTGTAATCTATTTAGCAAGCTTTTAAAATAAGGGGGTGGGCCGTGTGGACTAAAGATAAAAACACATCACAAAAAGGTTATAGTAACCCTTTAAGCACACACCCCATTACAAATTGATTAAACCGTTTCAAATTAGTGTTAACCAGAGTTCAGGTAATAATTTGAACAGCTATTACACACATTGCTGATAGAAGCCTATAATCCAGTTTAGTAATCCTACAAAATTTGTACTCAAGTACAAATGTGGTGTTGGTGTGATTGTATCAAGAACGCTAAATTCTTCAGACAGTATAATAACTGGTTTAAGAGAATAGGCTTACACATTAAGCAAAAGCCTCCAAGCTCTAGACCATATCACTGTGTGGCATGTAAGTCTATTACTTTGAAATTCCAACAGTTATCCACCTTTAGCATAAAAAAAAAATAAAAAAAAATATAGTAATACAAAATAATCTATCAATTTATATTAATTCTGATATACCAGGACAGCACTTAGGAAGTTCATATCTTTAACCAACACTACTAGCTGGTATATAAAAAGCGATATAGAGTAGGAAAATCATGATTTGAATCAGCAAGCTAGGAATTAGTCATTTATACCTAAAGGCAACTAAAGCACACTCTCATGGTTTTAAATAAAAATACTTAAAGAGCCAACAAGCAGATTGAAAACATGCACTATATGCACAGATGGAAGAATACCATGCCAGTATGACATTACCTGCACCGACCTACACACAGCCCGCAGTCTGTGCCGCCTCAATCCAAATGGCCGCAGATCACCTCGCCACGCGCTCTTGTATAGAACGTTAGCGTCTGTCACGTGATATTATACCCAGAACTAGCAGCAGCCAGAACCGGAAGCTTCCTGTTAGCCATTTTATAACCTGGCAAAAAAAAACAAAAACAAAAAAAAAAAAACAACCTTTTTCTATACGATCATTACGTAAAGGACGCATTAAGAATGCATTTCATTAAAAAAAAATATATATATATATCTCCGCTTCCAATAAATGTGTATCAACTTTGAGTTCCACAAAGGAATTTGTCATAAAAAAATTATAATAATAAAAGTTCACGCTCATCTCTTATATATAGACACACGGTTTACAGCCCCACAGACCTTTCACATTGTGGACTTTGTCACTTCCATTCGTTTTAAATGTAGGAAATGTTTAAAAGGGAGGGGCGGTGACGCCGTACGCGCCTGACGTCATGGCGGTGCGTGCCAGCGTGGGTCCGCGTCTCCCTCTTCTCGTGCACACACCAAGATGGCGGCCCTGGGTGGGCGGGGCCTGTGTTGCCACGTTGAGTCTGGACGTGGCCTGGGGGGAGGAGCGGCGCACGGAGCTGGGAGAAGCCGGGCAGGAAGGCCGGGGCAGGCAGCGAGCGAGCGAGCGAGCCGCACAACGTTGCAGTCCCGGGGCGAGCCGCACTCCCCAACGATAAAGGCCGACCGCCAGCAGGAAGTTCCCGTCACTGTAGTGGGTTACGGCCAGCTGCTGTCACCCTGCATGCCCCAGCCCCTCACTGGCCGTATCGCTGCCACACACAGACACCGCTCGTATTAAATCCACAGACAGTCACTGCCTCCCCCGCCGAGGTGAGTCTCATAACGTCCGCAGTCAGCGGGGCCGAAACGTAGAGCTCCCCTAGCTGTTAGAGAACTACAACTCCCTCAGTGCATCATGGGAGTTGTAGTTTTACAAAGCAGTTATGGGCTATTTATTGTTGTGCTCTTCCTGTCTGAGAGGTTAGAAAGCCATGGGCTGCGGGTGGGTGAGAGCTGGGTGCACACAGTGACTGCTCTACGGCTGGACACTCACTGGCATCCCCTAATAATAATAATAATAATACAGCATGGGGGGCTGGGAAGGAGCTCACTGCTCTGTCAGCAGGCAGAGAGAGCCCCAGCTCCTGCACGATCACAGCTATCACTATGCCCTGACAGCCTTACAGCTGCTGGTGGTGGCAGTCCTGCTACAGCTGGAGAGCTATCCTTTGGCACCCCTGTGCTAATGGTCAGCTGATCTCCTCCTGCTAATGAGGAGATAGAAATACCCCCTCTGTCTCTGGAAGTTACAACTTCTGCAATACCTCTTGCAAAAGAACAATGTTGGTCATCAATGTCCTCCTTATATTATACAGGGGATTTCTTTTAAATAAGATTTGAACAACTCTGCTTTCCTAGAGGTCCTAATGTGCAGGCTGTATATATTTTAAAAATGACTCTTATAGACCTTTTGATTGTTAGGACCTGGCCACCTCTTGTGCTGTAATTAAACTTTGGATTGTTGTAACTCCGTGTGTCTCTTGTTCACCCGTTGTTCAGCACTGCAGAATATGTTGGCACTTTTATATGTAAAAGTAATAATGGATGAGTTTCATACAGGCCTGACTGGTCACATCATTGTATGAATGGACTTTGGACTTGACATCAGTGAGTGGTTGCAGTGAATGCATTAGTATACGTTTGTATCCACAGAACCTGATGTTTAAATGAAATGTGCAGGTCTGTGCTCCCTTAAAGTGTTATCCAAATCTAAATAAGGTTTTCCTGTTGAGTTTGTGCCATCTGGCGGTCTGTATAGTTGCAAGTCCATTGATATCAGATACATTGCAGAGTGAACGTGTTAATATGGGTTAGAGAGGCCCCAAACATGTCTTTGAGTAATAAAGGAATTTTCAGCAATATTGATACACTTTTGAACCCAGAATCCGCCCTGTTCCTTTTTCTTATTGGTTAATTAATTGAGTATCTGTGACCAAATACCTCTAAAGTTCACAGAGACATGGCATTGAGTACACACGTCTAATGCACAAGTAATGTGCAGAACTACCAGTGCATTTTTGATGACATCTGTTTGTCTGTTAAAAGGGTGATTATGGGAACTTTATCTTTAATGAATGACACAATTGTGGGTAAAAAGTTATTCTGCTACATGCAGCTTCATGATTTGCAATTATATTTTCTCCCCTATGAATGAGTCTACTTAATGTATATATTAATGCATTTATTTGACTACTTCCCTTTTGAAACATCTTTATATATTTTATATCATTACAAGAGTCCAAGCATTAAGCTCTGATGTGCTTAGCCTTATAATTTTATCTAAAGGGTTACTCCAATCACCATGACTACTTCAGTGTTTTGAAGTGGGCATGGGACTTACAGTTTGACATGCTGCACATACAGAGACATTTTTAGATTGTTGCTAGTTGTGTAACTCCACCATTGGTGGCAGCATTAGCAAAAGCTAATGTTGATTCTGTGCGTATTCTTTGCAGTCATTCATTGGCTGAGAATGCCCAGCCAACGCTCCTAGCCAATAAATGACCAGTCGGATTGATATCCTTCTTCTGCAGCTTTGCACAAGCCCGACACATTACTTGATATCAGAGTAGCCTCAACTCACCCGATGAGATCAAGGTAAGAGGGCACACTGTTGCAAAATGTTTTTGCCCCATTAATGAGGGAATGGTACTAGGGTAGCATCTTAACTTCTTCAGTGGTCTGTAGTGGCTGTGATGTAGGGATCGACCAATATTGGTAACCGATAACTTATCGGTATTCTGTACATTTACCATTTAAAAAACGATGTCTACACAAATCTACTGTTAACTGAACATGTTATGGTGCCAGCTGTCTCAAAGTAAGCCATTAAACAGTTTACAATGGATTGATGCTTACCTTGCCTATGTTAGGCTTTCACAAACGTTGGTCCATACTTTGGCATAAGCAGTATCAATTATGTGCTGCAATAATGTGCAAATGTGTTTGTGGTTTTGCTGCTTAGAGTAGCTCTTTTGGGCTGGTGTAAAGAGCTAAATTACCCATGAAGATAATAAGCTTTTTCTGAAGAGATTAGATTTACAACATTTTGTGAAGGACTGTAAACTTGGGAAAATTCTGATGGGATGAGGTGGCACATTCCATATGAATGGTGCGACCCATGACATATCCTGTAGCTAGGAATTAGAGTAGCAAGTGTGAACAAAGAGAAGATTACTAACAGAGTGGGGTCACTTAAGGGTGTCATTGCTGACATTATGTATAATGTTGCAGATCCTTTTCAGCTCTACAATCACACATTCAAGGAAAGAAAAAAAAATATTTTGGGACAGATGATCACTTGGATGACAAAATTATATCACACATTATTTGCAGATTCTTCACGTGGGACATACATTTCAGGGCCAAAACCCCTTTCTTAGTGCAAATTCACAGCTACAGTGATAAGACTGAATGAAGAAATGTGCAGCGCTATCCTTGCACCATAACCTATTCAAGAAGCTTACAGGGTACTTCCAGTTTCACTTTAAAGTGTATTACTTTGGGCACACCTATTTATTCATGAGTTTTTTTTTTTCATTTTGCTAAATTTCAAAATCCGAACTATCTGCGCAATTTGGAGGATACATTGCAGAAGTATTTCACTAGATTTTCTGTCCTGTAATTCTAGTGTGGCAAAGGCCATGTGTATCTACCTTTAGCAACCCATGCTGTAATGTAGGAGCCTCCAGGATAATCTGGGTGAGTTCCAATTTGGAATACGTAAAGGATCACTATAGTGTCAGGAAAACAAAACGGTTTTCCTGACACTATGGTGCCCTAAGGGTGCCCCCACCCTCAGGGTCCCCCTCTCGTGGTGCTGAAGGGGTTAAAACCCCTTCAGCAGCTTACCTTAATCCAGCGCCGGGCTCCCTCAGCGCTGGTGATCTCTCCTCCCTTGCCGACGTCAGCTCCCTAGTGGAGCGGAAAGGCATGTGCGGCAAGTGCCCCACGCGCATTCAAACAGTCCATAAGGAAAGGATTTCTCAAAGCTTTCCTATGGACGTTATGCACGTTGGATGCAAATTTAGCATCCAGCAGCACAGATGTGCCTCTAGCGGCTGTCAAGAAGACAGTCACTAGAGGTTGGATTAACCCTGCTATGTAAACATAGCAGTTTCTCTGAAACTGCTATGTAACAGCTGTAGGGTTAAAACCTGAGGGACCTGGTTCCCAGACCACTTCATTGAGCTGAAGTGGTCTGGGTGACTATAGTGTCCTTTTAAGAACATGCTCAACTGGTCCTAAACTTTACTGCTAAAAAATAAATCACTTTATTGAGTTCTCAATTGGTTCTTGAGTTTCTTTCCCAAGTTAATATTTGCCCTCTGGCTACTCCACCTTTGGAAGCATCATTGGGTGTCAATGGCCAGCCTGGAATCTTGTTCCAGACTAGTTCATGTACGTTCTGTGCATATTTCATTGCACAAATGTCATTCACTGACTGAGAGCTATAAGCTGTCACTCTCATACAATGGGTTTACCAGGGGACGACGGCCAAGGTACTCCTACCATCATAACCACTTCAGTGGGCTGTAGTGCATGTAAAGAGTGGAGTAACCCTTTAACTTTCATGTGGATGTCTGGGATGTGAGTGGAAGAAGATGGGTCTATTGCTGAACTCCTCTCTGGTAATAGGAGATCCTTGTGACCTCGATTTACTTCAGTTTATTTATTTCCTTTATAACAATTTAACCTTTGACTGCTTGCTCATCCACTGGAAGACTTATGTAGTTTCACCTTCAAAAGCAAGACAATTTATTCTGTGAATACGCCTTTATTGATGTTTTATAAATATACTAGTATTGTACTTTGTTTAGGATATGGGCCTATTCTCTTCAGTTTTTTTAGCTGACCTTAAAGGATCACTATAGTGTTAAAACCACCATCTAGACCCCCTGGACCCTTCATGCCTCCATAAATATAGTAAAAATCTTACTGTATTCAAGCCTGAAGCTGTAGATCTGCATGCAGTTTGCCTAAAAAAAACAAGCAGCCGCTGACATCATCAGAAGTGGTAGCCTGATCTAATCACAATGCTTCTCCAAAAGCCTAAAGGTAATGATTCTACTCACCAGAACAAATTCAATAGGCTGTAGTTGTTCTGGTGACTATAGTGTCCCTTTAAATTGTTCCGATTCAGATATGCACATACTGTGCAATTTACTTATGAATTGCTTTTAATATCTAATTTGCTAATCCAGATAATGTTAAGGTTCTATTGAACCCTAAGATATTCATTTCAGTGACTTGGGAATGTTTTTTTTCCCTCTGCATTCCATTTTCCCCGAATTTACCGGTTACAGATATATAAAATCATATATTACCTTTACATTTCCTACGTGTACTAATTCTATACCCTGGTTGTAACCATTTAAAATAAGGACACTAAGTAAACAAACTGGTGCCATTATACCTAAAAATCATTAAATAGTTCCATGGACGTGTACAAATCAAGACAATATCAGTTTAGTTCAAAAATAGAAGTTCTTGTGGCCTGTTTTGTGATAAGGTTTGTAGTGACTCATTCTACTTTGTTCTGATACTTAATTTAAAAGTTTGCAGGGGTCAAAGGACAAACCACCATTCTAGTGTAGTTATATGCTATGTGTTTGTACACCATGGTTTGATTTTAGAGCTAAATTACAAATAATTCTGCATTCTAATAGTTTCTTTCACTAAATTTTGTGAAGTAAGAAGCTGTGCCACACATGCTTGCACTGTACAATATAGAAGCCTCATAGAAATTATTATAGCACTTTTTTTTGTCAATTTGTATTGAAATATAATTAAATGATAAACTGTTTTTGTTGTTTGTGTTTATTTATTTTGAATGGTTTGACTTCTTACATAGGGTCTTCCAGGTGTCACTCTCCACCTCCACTATCAACTTCAGACAGCCCTGCAGTGCAGAATTTGTCCTCATAGGACCTTTCAGTTCTCTTCTAAAAGAAGTGGTCATCGATGTTGAAGTAACCCTTAAATCTTTTCCAAGCAGCTTAACCCTAAGGTCACTGGCCACCCACAGTTAGCCCTTACTGGATGGCTAAGGCAGAGACCACATACTTCCTTCTGCCCATACCAATTCATACCAGCAATGGGTGTTGTGATGGGCAAAGTCATCATCTGACATGCACAGCCAATCACAGTCATACATTAAAGGATCACTATAGGGTCAAGAACACAAACATGTATTCCTGACCCTATAGTGCTAAACCCACCCTTTAGGTGGCTTGCCCCCCCCCAGCTCCCTTATAAAAGTTTAAAACTCATCTAGCTCTGCCCCCTTTGTGACATCATCAAAATGATCGGGAAAGCATTGGATAAATCAGCACCGGGGTGGGGCCAAATGCAGTTTTGGTCAATCAGGACGTCCTCATAGAGATGCATTGAGAAAAAAAAAAAAAGTCAGTGTTTTTACATGAAAATGCCTGAAGGGTGCTATTATACTCACCAGAACAACTACATTAAGCTGACTATAGTGACTATAGTGTCCCTTTAATGCTAATGCTTTCTCATTAGCCAAAGCAGCTTAGAGGAAGTGGAAAGTTGGAGACAATTGTTTAGCATTAACAGATTAAAAATGTTTAACATTGTATACAGGGATGGCACCAGGGTACTCCAAAAAATCTATAACCACTTCAATGAAATTAAGCAGTTTTGGTCCCTTTTTAATGTTAAGATAAGTAACCTTTATAACAAGGCTATTCCTGTACATACGTTTCTGAGCAGGCACAAAAACAAGCTTTTCTTTAATACTTACATCACTACAAACTATGAATTTAACTTTGATTTATCTACTAATGACTCCTCTTACAAAATAACCCACTAATTTCACTGTAGAAGGAGTTCTCCATGCTTACTGTGTCACAGTGAGCAACTGGTGAACTCTAGGCAGCGGAAATCTAAAAGCAAGATAGTGAGGCACATCTTTATATCTATATCTCCTAAATACTTTCCTGAATATAATTTACTTACTCATGACTCAAAATTAAGCCCTGCAACATACATTTTCTATTAACATCCCCAGCTGATGAAGACATCTGGTCGCTCTATGCTTTTGTTTATAATGATCCGTCTTTTCTGAAATCCTGTCAGACATATCAGTGACTATAACAACTAGAGTAATGCAATCTAAATACAATTGGTGATGCATGTCTTGATCAGGCTGAGAATAAAAAAAAAAAAACTGCTCCTCTGTGAGATATCAGAGTGATGGATAATTGAGGTGGAAAATCCTCGTCTGCTGCTAAATAGCTGAAAGCTTGGTGTAACCACAAGTGTACATACTGGTGCCAATTTGCACAATAAAAATAAATAAATCATAGGAATACCAAGAAATGTAGTGCAGAAAATACAATTACTTGCTCTTCATATCCCTGTTTTATATTGTGTATGCATTCTTGTATTTGTTCCTATTTCTGTTAGTTAGTATTTCCATCAGTTGCCTTGTATTCTCCATTAAAAATAAAAAAAATAATGGTAGCATTCACTGTCAACTGTGAATTTGGACATAAAAACAAAACACTGTGTTGTGGGTGTGCCTGCTTTAGAAGAAGAGATTCTAATCTCATAAACCACTCCACAGCATGGGAGCAGATCCATTCATCACTTGCTCTGTAAACTGATAAGAGCTGCTGTATGTGTTAGGTTGCCTGTATTGGTGATCACTGCTTATGTGTTGCCCCATTTCAGAGCCAAGCGGTTCTTCCTGCCCTCGACAGCCCCGCTGTCTCCGTCCCATTTCATAACGTACCGACTTCATGGTGTTGCTGGCAGGGAATTGTGTCACTATAGATGTCCCTTCATGTATTAATGGCATAGCTAGACAATGAAAGCCATGCACACATAAGTAGGTTGTAATTCCTGTTTTGGTCCTAGTAACGTGTTTATACTGTCTCTTGCAGTTTTCTGGTTTTGACTCTGCTATCCTTGACAACTCAAGGCTTTGTTACTCTACCTGATTTCTTGCTTTCCTTTTACCTGGTATTTCTCAGACTATTCTCATATTACTTGTATGTGAAACCTGATCATACTATGGACCAATACTATGTTTAAAAGGCTCTTTGTTTAGTTTTGGTGGATTCCTGTTTTGCTTTTTGGGGTGATTACCGAGACATTATAACAGGGCCTGCATCTGTGAATCCCCATTTAGCTACATGTTGGCTACAATCTCTATTTTACATTGAATACACTATGTACCTTTTGATTCCTTGATTCATTGTTTCGTTTGTCCACCTTTTCTTTTTTGGTTGTATCTGTTTAACGTTTGTAAAGCGTAATGTGAAAGTTCTAGTAACATTTTTCAGATATGAAGTGCTCCCCACAACTTCCTGATTTCAACATCAGCTTTAAAACAAGATAGCAAAAGTCTATCATCCTCCAGAATATAGCTATATAGAGGACCAACACCACTACACAGCACTCTGTAAAATGCATTGAGACAATGCTTTCCTATGGGGAAGGCCTAACACGCTCACTGCATATGCGCATTAGGTCCCCCCATAGGATGACGTTGGAGGAGGTCAACTGCTACCCTCGGCACTGGAATCTGGTAAATGAATAAAGGGTTATTTAACTCTTTACAATGTAGACTGCAGTGTTAGAAATACAGAAATGTGTTCCTCCAATATCAATCTCCTGATGGTGGATCTGAGATTTGCAAATGTTGCATCAGTTAAACATATGCATCATGGCTACAGATCTCTGTTTAGTGTATTGTGCAGGTTGTTGCTTTTAAAATTGTCAAATTGTATTGTCCATAAACTTGTAATATTACAGTAATATGGAACAATTGTTCATCAACAAAAACATTGTCCTTTTTGACATTCTTCTGGGCACATTTGTGTCCTGTAAAATAACCATAGAGACCGTTCACCATTTGTGGAGCCCCAAGCATTATTGGTAAGACTCGAGGTTGTATATGGAAATATTAATTTAAACAAAGTACTCACGTGATTATTTACTACTCCAAGATGGAAGGAGCAGCTGCCTTAGTCTCTGCTCCACCTTAAATGATATGCATGGCATCCCACAATTCTTGTGTGGTACCCTAGAAATTGTGGAGGACATTACAGCTTGGAAAGAGAGGAGGTGGTAGCTGCATGCTAATGGACTCTAAGGCTTTAGTTTGACAGTTTTAAGGCTAACGAGTTATGAAATAAATGGAATAACATTTCATCTATACATTTGTAACATTTCAAACTTGACAAACCATTGCTTATTTCTGCACACGTGATAATACTGTTTATTTGAAAATTTAGTTTTTTTTGTTAGCCTATTTAAACAAATGTATTTATTTATTTTTACCCCTTTACACAGGATGAAGCTTAAAGAAATAGATCGTACTGCTATGCAGGCCTGGAGCCCCTCTCAACATCACCCGATATACCTGGCAACAGGTAAAAAGTATTTTATTGCAGTTATTGCATTTACAGCTTCTATTAATATCCGCTATATATGACTGTATATGGTTAGGACTGCATTCACGTTTTTATATACATTTCCACTCCGACAGCCCAGGATGTCACCAGTGAGAGATATGTTTGGTAAATAGTCGTCTTATGCAGAAACTTGTTTTGATCAGTTTGTCAGAATCACATTCCTTTTCAACCACACTCGAATGAACCGACCCGACCAGGATTTACCCACAGAGTCTTATTCATTGAATATTCTAGGTGTTCGAATATCTGCTCTTTAGATGTCACCGCTGTCTCTTGCTTCCTGATATGTGTTCACAACAAGCTGTCCCTTGCACTTCTTTCTATTCTGAATTTGCTCTCTTGCAAACATAACGCTTGTGGGAGAGCTGCATTACACTGAGACAATTACATGTAGTAATGTGGCCTTAAAGGAACACTATAGTGTTAGGAATACAAATATGTATTCCTAATGTTCCATGGCGAATACATGGTTAACCTTAATATAATCCAGTGCTGGGCTCCCTCGGCACTGGTGACCTATCCTCCGTTGACATCAGCTGCCGAGTAAAGCCGCATGCGCGCACGCATTCAAACCCGCCCATAGGAAAGCATTACTCAATGCTTTCCTATGGGGGTCTTTTTTGACGCTGGAGGTTCGTGAGGACGTCCAGTGTCAAATAAGTGCAATTTACTCAGTGTAAATCGCGGAAGCGCCTCTAGTGGCTGTCAGGGAGACAGCCACTAGAGGCTGGATTAACCCTGCAGTGTAAACTTAAGTTTCCCTGAAACTGCTATGTTTTCAGCTGCAGGGTTAAAACTAGGGGGTAATAAAAAAATACAGTAAGTTGTGTAGGCGCTTCAAATATTAAATAAACCAAACCAAACAAAGTGAGTGTGAAAAAGGTGTAATCCCTTAACACCTAAGAAACAAAGTGAAAGAATAAAAGGATTCACACACTCTAAAAATTACTGTATATAGATATACCACCTATAACAGATATGGGTATAATAATTACACCTGTAAAACAAATGAAAAGTACATAGTGCTTTCCATATAAACAAATACACAATGTATAAAGTATATGAGGAATAAACTCACAAGGCTGGAGCCTAATAGGCTCTGTGTATATCGCCCTTGGGTGCCTATCCAGGCTCTCGATAAACTTCTTGTGAAGAACTTGAATTCCACGAAGAGATAAAAATGTGAAATATTTTTTATGAAATGTATTATTAAAAAATATATATCCAATGGGGACAAATAAGAGGCAGGTATAAATAAATTAAGTATAACACAGTATCACACCGCAAATCTGGCCAAGGATAAAAGCAGTGAAAATACTAAAATGTATATACAATATAACAATACCGCCAAACAAAAAAAAAAGTCCAAAATGTGGCAAACGCGTTTCAGCCCTCAATGGGGCTTTCCTCAGTACTGTAGTCTTGGGATAACTTCAGGGTTTAAATACTCCCTGGATGCGCAATTTTTCAAGCTAAAACACTGCACATACAGAATCCTACTACCATGACCACTTCTAAAAGTGATAATGGTGGTTGGAGTAACCCTTTAAGCATTGCCAATATCGCTTAATTTCCTCATAACTATGCTCGTTTGTAGAGTTTCTGGTCTTAACCTAAAGTTTTTCTTGCCCTGGCAGGTTCCATGTACCTCTTACACTTCACTCTATGCTCACTCGCACGTACTATACCAACAGAGGTTTCTGCTCTGCTTCAGTCCTCCAGTCCACCACTTGTTCCCTTGATCCTATGCTTTCACATCTCACTTGCGCTTTGTCTTCTTCTCTTGCTCTGCCCTTCACTAAAATATTCAATCCGTACCTATCCTTGGACATATTTCCTTCATGATTCAAGCATGCAACCATCACCCTGATTTCTAAAAAAGCCTAACCTTTACCCTTACTCCATATTCAACTACCGCCTTATCTCGCTTCTACGGTTTGTCTACAATAGAGCTGTGCTGATTTAATCCAATTCTCTGCTCGACCTGCTTCAGTCTGGATTCTGCACTTGTAACTCATTGCTGCTAAATTCAGTGGTCGCTACTCTCTTCTAATTCTCCTTGATCTTTCTGTTGCTTTTGACACTTTTTTAATCATCAACAACTCTTTCTCCTCCTCCATAATCTGAATTTCTGCTCTTTCCCTGTTCTCTTCCTAACTCCCCCAACGCTCTTTCAGTGTTTCTTTTTCTGACTCTTCCCTCTATGTTGGAATTCAACAAAGTTCTCTCCTTGGTCCCCCACTGTTCTCGATCTGTTCTGCCTCCCTTGGTAAACTCAGGTGCTCTTTTGGCTTCCAATATCACTTATACGCGGATGACAAGCAAATCTATATGTCCTCTCCTAATCTGTCGCCATCCCTCGTGTCTCTGACTGCCTCTCTACTATTTCCTATTGGATGGCTGCTCATTTTCTTAAACTTAACCTATACAAAACAGAGCTGAGGTGAGGATCGTCTTCCTATAACTCCCATGCCTCACCCCTCTGTCAATCATTACACTGGCTTCCTGTAAGATTTAGGGCTCAATTTAAAAATCTCTACATAATACTGCTCCTACCTACCTATCCTCACTAATATACTTGTATGTACCATCCAGGCCCCTGTTCTCTGCTGAAGTCTATTATCTGTTTGTCTGATGCCCACCTTTACGATTTCCTAGGAACTCCCTTCCCTGCTCTGTTAGACTCTTACTCAGTCTTGTTTCACTCAAACTATCATTTAAAACTCTTTTCCTTAGCAAACCCACCCTGCTTCCTCTCTTACAACTGTGTCATCCAGTAAACTAACCCTTCACTGTAAAATATTCTAGTAACCTACTTTTTCCAATACATTAAATCCATCCTACCCTTACTTTTTGTGCAACTCTACTCCACTCCCTCTGGAATGTGAGCTCATCTGAGCAGAGCCCTCCACCCCTATGTTCCTGTGCAGCCAGCTTGTCTTGTTGCAATTACTTGTCTCTTAGTCCACCTATTGTACAGGGCTGTGGAATTTGTCGGTGCATCATAATAATAGAACAACAACAACACTGGGAAATACCCAGAATTTACATGTGTACAGCTAATCCCTGTCTGAAGAAATAACATTTAAGTCCTCCGGTCTGAGAGAAAGCACAAATTAAAGCTTTTGTAGTGCAATATTTTTTATTTAAACCGTTTCACACACTATACTATGTTGGTGCAAAATGTTTCTGGGTGTCCTATAGTGGCATTTGTCAGTTTCAAATGCCATATATGCAGGTCTGATAAGTCTAAATGTAGAAAATCACACTTCAAGTGTAAATTGTGCTGAACAAACTCACAGTTGTGGCAGCGGACTACCCTGCTCTGGCCAGGCACAAAATTGCTCAGCCTTGTGAAGCTATTTTTTTTTTTTTTTTAATTTAAAGCTACTTGCCCTTTAATTTCAATTGCAGCCAGCACACAAATAGTACTTGACTTTTTACCAAGCAAATGATAATTTGACGATAACTAGCAAACGTGCATCCTGCTGGATGCATTTGGTCTCTAGTCACTGTAAAATCAGTGCTTTGTACATATCCTATATCCTCTGCCTTATGTATAAAATGCACTGATTTTCAACCAGACACCATATGCATCCAGGTAAGATAAATTTGGTTTGGCTGACCAAATTCTGATCTGGAATTGGCTTTAGTAAATATGAGAATTGCAATTCCAGTTCCAGTCCATTTTCTTAAAATTTTGTCCTTTTAGAGTTTAATAATTTTACTTTGATTGAATCTTTATAAACAAAAAACTTGCAGAATGTTGTACCGTTTCATGCATTTTAATGAATATATTGTTTGATGCAAAAAGTATGTAAAACTCAAGGACTTTTTGAGCCTTATGCTCCTATTAATGATCTAGCGGTGTGATTTTATTTTTTCTCCATGTGTTTGTTAAATAATTACAATTTCTTAAAAATCTTTTAAATTCAGGCACATCTGCTCAGCAACTTGATGCCTCCTTCAGCACTAATGCATCTCTTGAGATCTTTGAAATGGACCTGGCAGACCATTCCTTGGACATGAAGTCATGTGCTACTTTCTCAAGCTCTCACAGGTATTCATTTATTATCAAATCATGCTTCAAGGGTTAATCAACCATTATAACCACTACATTGCGTTGTAGTAGTTATAATGTGAGAAGTAATGAGAGGTCATTCGCTGCTAATGGGACAAACTGATATTTAAACACCGTTACCTGGTCCTGCCAGGAACCTGTTCTCCTGTGAAGCAGGGTTTACAATAACTGGCTTCTGCAGACCTGCAATAGCTGCATACCTATCCTGCCGCTCATTCATTAGTTGAGAATGTCTGCTGACTGTTCTCGGCCATTGAATGAGTGCATTGAATTTTCCACATTACTGACATTAGCCAGCCTGTAACTCTTTTTCAGGACTGACAGATGATGCCCATGATACTGCACCTTCTGCGGCAGAGGGGTTAAGCTCACAGCGAAACAATGTATACACAGACTCTAGGCACCATGATCACATGATAGTGGTCACACTGTTCCTTGAAAAAACATGTGTATACTTGTTGTACTGCCAACAAAAGTGATCAATTCCACAGTACAATGTGTATATGTGTTAAATAAATATTAGGAACAAAGAGGGAAAGTATATGTAGGTACTTATATTCTCCTTGCCCTAAAGCAATTTTCCTCAAGCCAACATCAAACCAACTTGATTTAGCAGTTACTGTATTTACTTGTATGTGTTTTGAAAGTGTATGACTGTATGAGTGTTATGTGGTTGATTATAAAACCCACAGTTAAAATAGGCACCCAGACCACTTCAGCTTAATGGTAAGTTAAACCCCTTCCACCCTCTAGAGCCTGGCGGGAGGGGCACCCTGAGGGCGGGGGCACCATCAGGGGACTATAGTGCCAGGAAAACAAGTTTGTTTTCCTGGCACTATAGTGGTCCTTTAATGCTAACATTTGTTCATCAATAGCACTGTCAACCATGGTGTTTTTTTTATTTTTTCTTCTTCTTTCAGGTACCATAAGCTTATTTGGGGTCCACACGGGATGAATTCAGATGGCGAACTTTCTGGGGTCCTTATTGCTGGGGGAGAGAATGGAAACGTGATTCTTTATGACCCAGCTAAAATCTTAGCAGGTGACATTGAAGTTGTCATTGCTCAACAAGATAAACACAGTGGACCAGTGAGAGCCCTAGATGTAAACTCTTTTCAGGTACGTTATGTTGCAAATTACTAGCAACTATGTTTGGCGCTGCGTAGGTTATGGTCCAAGGGAATTTCCTGTCTCTGTAAGAACAACAAGTTGTTATGGTGCTTGGAATGTACTTTAATATAAAACACGTTTCTGCATGTAAAGTTAGCATTGACAAATATCTATATATTGATCAAATATCTATATATTGATCAAATATCTAAATTTTATAAGTATGTCTCCATCTTCATTTATTCCCCCTCTTTTTCTATAAGTGACAGTACCGAGCTGCCAGTCATATTATTAAATGGGAACTGAACTTAATATTCTGTATGTTTAACCCCTATAAACTGCCAATATGTTTTTGTAAGTCCTCCACCTTGATTCCCTGTCAGTCATACTTAATAAATATTGCCCTTTTCTTCCCTTGAAAATAACAATGTTTCTTCTCCATATTTGCATGCTGTACATGAACTGATCTAAATCTTTAATATATATTTTAAAAGGAAACGGAGCATAAAATGTTAACATAAGTTACTTTTCCATGTTTGATTTTTTTTTTTTTTTGTGATGTTAGAATATCTTCAGAATTGACTATTCCGCTTTAAGTTCATTATTTGGTTTTCATTTTGCTACTATTCCATGTCAAGAAAAAGCAACCCTTATTCTCAAATAACCACTTTGGGATTCTAGTTGAGCAAGAATAATGTTCCAGTTTTGCAAAACTGATTTTCAGTTCACTGTTTAGAATCTTAAAATACTTTTTGCTAGTGTTTGTTATTAACTGCCGCCACTCTTTACAGACAAATCTTGTAGCCTCTGGTGCCAATGAGTCAGAAATCTATATTTGGGATCTGAATAATTTCGCTGTACCAATGACACCAGGTGCTAAGTCTCAGGTAAGTAAAGCTGTCTGCCTGTTTTTCTGAAAAATAATTTTTCTATTAAATAAATAAAGACCAATTGCATCCTTTATGGTGTATTGTTAAAGTAATATTGGTATGATTTACTTCAGCCTCTGGAAGACATCAGCTGTATTGCGTGGAACAGGCAGGTGCAGCACATTCTGGCTTCCACTAGTCCCAGTGGGAGAGCCACTGTCTGGGATCTCAGGAAAAATGAGCCAATTCTCAAAGTCAGCGACCACAGTAACAGGGTATGTATGTTGAGCTGCACTACAGGGAAGATATTATGTTTTTTTTTTTATTTTGTCTGTCATAAATACATGTACATTTATTTTTTCTTTTCATCACATGGTTTAATCTAGAAATTTAATTGGATATATATATGGGCCAGTTGTTTATGGCATTATGGTAATTTTTTTTTTTAATCTATCTGGGCAGATGCATTGTTCTGGCATGGCTTGGCATCCAGATGTTGCCACCCAGATGGTACTTTCTTCAGAAGATGACCGGCTCCCTGTCATTCAAATGTGGGACCTGAGATTTGCTTCTTCTCCTTTGCGTGTCATGGAAAACCACACAAGGCATGAACCTTCTTATTCTCTTTAAATTGTGATTTTGTTCTAATGGCTAAATTAATGTTTCTGAAAACTAGTGGTGTTTTTCTCTTGTGCTAAGTAGTCACTGAGCCTTGCGGGAATTGTAGTTTACAAACATCTGCTGTGCATGCTTAGTTACTACTACACAGAAACAACTTAACCAGAAGGGGGTTAATTGATGTTTATAGCATTATTCTCGCCTCTGTTATCTAAAATGTTTCTCTGCCTTGCTATTGTAAATGGGTAGTCAGTCGATACTATACTTCACAGGACTATGATATTTTTGGCAGTTGGAATTTCAAATGTCTGATTTAAGAAATGCTCAGAGTTCTAAATACATATTTTCCTTGGCTGTATTGGCACAATTGTTAAGCTTTTGTCTGTGTAATTATTAACTCGTGTTTATAAATGCAGGGGGATTTTGGCCATTGCTTGGAGTATTGCAGATCCAGAACTGCTGCTCAGTTGTGGGAAGGATTCCAAGATACTCTGCTCAAACCCCAATACAGGAGAGGTAAGCAGAACCAGGGCAGTATTGATTATGGTCTTTTTATAGAGTACATGCTCTTTCATAACTTGCGTAGATATTTATCACCGTGAAATGAAACCGTATTGTGATAAGATGAGAGCACGGTTGGTATAATCTGATAAACGCTATGTAAATTACACAGCAACCTGTAGCTTCCATAATGTTATGAGCAGTTTCATAAAACGGCTTGCAATTTTATTGGAATTTTGTTAATACAACACTTAACCTTTCTAATTCTGTATGTCTCTTGTTAATTAAATAGTTTTCATTGTATTAAGCTGTGCTCCTTCCACAGGTTTTATATGAACTGCCAACCAACACGCAGTGGTGTTTTGATATTCAATGGTGCCCTCGTAACCCAGCTGTTCTTTCTGCTGCTTCTTTCGATGGGCGCATTAGCATTTATTCCATCATGGGTGGGAGCGAAGACAATCAGAGTCAGAAGCAGGCAGACCAGGTAAAAGCAAATATTTATTTATTCATTTATCTTAAATATTTCCATGGTAAGTGTCAAAATTTCATTGCTGACTATGAATTATTCACGTTTTTATTTTCTTGATTCTTTACTTACTTGGTTAGCTTTTTAACCCCTTAAGGACACATGACATGTGTGACATGTCATGATTCCCTTTTATTCCAGAAGTTTGGTCCTTAAGGGGTTAAGGATCAATGAGTGTCTAATAACCCTATGACCATTGGATACCACTTGTGACATGAGATGTCTTGCTCCTATAAAATAAATAGGGCTCTAAAGAGGTTCTGCTGAACAATAAGAACTACATTCTAATGATCAAGGTTCCATTGGATATTAAGGAAACTGATATGCATTTTCATTGGTTTGCCCACTGTAACCTTAGTTTGACCTATTGTTCTCTGCACATCTGTACTATGATTGCAAAATTGCAGAATTCTGGATCAGAATGTAAAAAAAAAAATTATAATTTGAAAAAATAAAGAATTTAAAAAAAATTTAAAGTATAGAATTTCTCGACATATCTGAGGTGTTCCAGACATGTCGATCACTAATCTTTATTTCTCTAATACAACACTATATTTCTTGTTATACAGATCACTTCATCTTTTGGGAACCTAGATCCATTTGGCACAGGGCAACCTCTCCCCCCACTGCAGATTTCTCAACCGCCAACGCAGAAGAGCGCTGTTATTCCTCTGAAAAAACCCCCAAAGTGGCTCCGGCGGCCCGTTGGAGCATCATTTTCTGTGAGTGAATTTTAAATATTTTATACACCTAGTGACTTTTTAATTTAATGATACATAAAGGTGATATATTAGGTGTTTGAGCTCTGTCACATATGGCATCAAGCAAGGACAGTGATGGCCACCCTGGCACTAAAGATATTTCAAAATAGCCTGCCTATCACCATCAGACTCTCCCCTAGTGTCCAATTGTTTAAAAAGTGCCTTAAAACCCATCTCTTCAGTAAAGCTTATTGCCTCCCAGAGTAACCTCTACCTCACATACCTGTGCCTTGCTCTCTCCTCCAGCTTTGCTTCACTCACACCTTGTTTGATTGCTATCTCCTGTCCTTCTACGTTTTATACCACACCTACTCTAGACTGTAAACTCATTTGAGCACGGTCCTCTTCAACCTACTGTTCCTGTAAGTTTTTGTATTTGTCTCATTTATTGTTAAATCTTCCCCTCTTGTAATGTTGTCAAGAGATACCAAATCGCTATATAATTGGCAATAATAATAAAACCCATTTCTAAAACACGCCCACCTAGAAATAAGGTTGTTTTAACGTAGTGGGAAATGAACTAAACTACCTGGGGTGCCAACACTGGCCATCATTGTACTAGGAGATGAAGGTATCTAATACTTGTGCAGTTTTTGAGAAGTCATCTTACATCAGGCTCAACAGTTCAAATCTTTCCATACTGTATTTCCATTATTGGATATACAATGAAAGCACATAAACATGAGGGGTGATTTGCTGTGTACTAAAAAGTTGCATTATTTGTTGGTTCTCTTGTGCAAATTTATAGAAAACAGTAAAATAGTTCTCCATTCCGGTGCAGCTTTCTGTTTGGTCTAAAATCTTCTAATTTCACCATAAACCACCTTTCATTTTTTTGTTGTTGTTACAATTTGCTGTGTCATTCATTTCCTCCTCATATTGTTTCACTTCAAGCTAAAATAATTGTAACTGAATAATTTTATTATGCAATGTTCATCAAATGCTGTCTTTTACTCACTGTGCCACAAAAGCGTTAAAAATACCACAAAAAAAATTTATTTATTGACTCTATAATGGCAATTAGATTTATCATTCGACCAACACACTGTTCTTACCTGTATGTTTGAATATTCTAATTTCCTCCCTCAAAATTTTTTTGTGTTTTTTAAAAAAAATTTAATTTTCTTTTACCATTTAGTTTGGAGGAAAACTAGTCACATTTGAAGCTTTAAATGTGCCACCGACTCAACAACCACAGGTCCAGAACCAACACTTCCATGTGCATGTCAGTCAGGTAGTTACGGAGGAGGAATTCCTGAACAGATCTAATAAGTTACAAGATGTGGTCAGCACTGGAGCTTTCGTTGACTACTGCCAGAAGAAAATTGAAGACTCAAAGTCAGACTTTGAGAAGAATGTTTGGTCATTCCTGAAGGTTGGTTATGAAAAGAACATTTCCTGTCTCTACTTTCCTCTGTTTTCTTTACAGGCACTTTAAGGTCTTTAATTTTTCAAGATTCTTTTGTTTCAGGTGTTGTACCGGAGGATTGGAGGAAGGCAGATGTTGTTCCTATATTTAAAAAGGGTTCAAAATCCTTGCCTGGAAATTATAGACCTGTGAGCTTAACTTCAGTAACTGGGAAAATATTTGAAGGGCTATTAAGGGATAATATTCAGGAATTCATTGGGAAGAACTTTGTTATTAGCAATAATCAGCATGGTTTTATGAAACATAGGTCATGTCAAACTAACCTAATTGCATTCTACGAAGAAGTAAGTAGAAGTATAGATCAGGGTGTTGCAGTGGATGTGATCTACTTGGACTTTGCCAAGGCATTTGATACGGTTCCTCACAATAGGTTAGTTTTCAAACTAAAAGAAATTGGTCTAGATGAATATTCCTGTTCTTGGGTAGAACATTGGCTTAAGGACAGAGTACAACGAGTTGTCATTAATGGTAAATTTTCAGGCTGGACAAAAGTGGTAAGTGGTGTCCCTCAGGGTTCTGTTTTGGGACCACTTCTATTTAACATATTTATAAATGATCTTGAAATAGGCATTGAAAGCCATGTATCAGTGTTTGCAGATGACACAAAACTTTGTAAAGTAATAAAATGTGAGCAGGATATTGCTTTGTTGCAGAGAGATTTGGATAGATTGGGGGACTGGGCACTAAAATGGCAGATGAAATTTAACATAGAGAAATGCAAAGTTATGCACTTCGGGGTTAAGAATGCACAAGCAACTTACACACTAAATGGTAGTGAATTAGGGATAACCACACACGAGAAGGATTTGGGCATTGTTATAGACAACAAATTAGGCAGCAATATGCAATGTCAATCTGCAGTTGCTAAGGCCAGTAAGATTTTGTCATGTATAAATAGGGGCATAAATTCTCGGGATGAAAATATAATTTTGCCTCTTTATAAATCGCTGGTAAGACCACACCTTGAATATGCTGTGCAATTTTGGGCGCCTGTTCTAAAGAAGGATATCATGGCACTGGAGAGGGTCCAGAGACGAGCTACAAAATTGATAAAAGGAATGGAGCATTTTAGTTATGAAGAAAGGTTACAAAAATTAAATCTGTTTCGTTTGGAAAAACGGCGCCTGAGAGGGGATATGATAACTTTATACAAATATATTCGGGGCCAGTACAAACCTTTATCTGGAAATCTATTCATAAACAGGGTTATACATAGGACACGAGGTCACACATTTAGGCTGGAAGAAAGGAGATTTCATCTAAGGCAAAGAAAAGGTTTTTTTACAGTAAGAACAATAAGGATATGGAATTCTCTGCCTGAAGAGGTGGTTTTGTCAGAGTCCATACAGATGTTTAAACTGAAATTGGATAAATACTTACAAAAACATAACATACAGGGATATAATTTCTAATTAGTGGGGTAATAGCTGATTGATCCAAGGAGACATCTGACTGCTATTTTGGGGTCAAGAAGGAATTTTTTCCTAGTTTGTGGCAAAATTGGAAGTGCTTCAGACCAGGTTTTTTGCCTTCTTTTGGATCAACAGCAACAACATTTCTGAGGAAGGCTGAACTTGATGGACGCAAGTCTCTTTTCAGCTATGTAACTATGTAACTATGTAACTATGTAACTTTCATAAAAGCCAGACCACTGTTTTTTTTTATTTATTAATTATTTTTTTTATAGTTTTTGTTGTTTTGTTGTGCAGGTGAGTACAGAGCAAGCTAGGTAGATGTGTCTATCTGATAATCTATTTAAAAGCACACAAGCTTGCAGCATCCTGACATCGTTGGTGCTCAGAGTTGTATGTAAGAAAGGAAACCGTGACATAGTATAAACATTTGTGTCATTCTAGAATGCTGTGCCATGATGACTATTGTGTTAGCTATTGACTGGTTAACTCATAGTTTACCTCAGTGCTTCAAAAGGCTGTCTAGTTTTCGTATTGTAAGCCAACAGGCAACTGGTAGACCTCTCACATAGCTTTAAGTAGGGGCAAAAACCATTATGCAGAATGTTAATTTGAGGAGACTTAGGTGATCTAAAGTTATAGCAATATAATAACATCTTTAACCATTTATATCATTTTTGTTACTCTTGTGCTGCTGGGTTATTAGCAGCCTAGGTTAAAGTCTCTGTCCAGAGACTTATCTTAGCCGTCAGCCAGCTCCCGAAGTTAGAAAGTCAGCCGATTCCCTGGCTGGGCTTCCACCTTCCTTGTACGCAATGTGACTACTGTTATTTTTAAATCAATATGTAATTAGATTTTTTTTTTTACCACAGATGTGAAACAGCAGTGCAGAGCAAATAGTAGTTGCCCATTCTCAAATGATGGCAGAGGAGCCTAGAAAATACAATAATTAGCCCTCCCACCCTTGTCTCCTATGTAGGGTATCTAGGCCTAAATTGCTCCTGTATCTACCTGTCCTTGAACAGGCTTGAATATGTACCTTCTTTGTTGTTTTAAGCAGATGGTGGAATTCATTCTGGGGATTGTCATGCTGTGCTAAGACCAGCATCTGCAGCCACTAGGGAGAGCATCTCTCAAATATTTGGTTTACTCAACAGTTGAATGCACATGCTCTGTGTGTATTCAAATGATTAAATTAGACACCATGTCAGAGGCAGATTTTAGCTATGGGCACATAACGGGAAACAGAAAATGGGTGGAAAGCACTCTTGGATGATGATACTTTCCACCATAATTGAGGCAGCACATGCGTGGAGACAAATGTTTTGCATTTCAGCCCACTAATTAAAGCGGCACTATCACGGCGGAATCCAGTTTTATTTAAACCCCTCCCTACTCCACTACATCTAATTGTCCCCCTACTCACTCCCAAATGTCCCTAAGCCCCCCATATTACCTATTTTTTCTATCTTTATTTTCTGCCTGGACCTAGGTCCTGGGTGCCGCCATCTTTGTGGGGGTAGATGAAGTCCTGTGGGACACGTCATCTGCCCACACTAGATAGTGCTGTGAAATTTCCACGCATGCCCAGTTAAACACTTGGGCATTCAAACGGGAATTTCGTCCATTCATTCGTCAGAAAGCCGAATAAATGAATAGAAATTTTTAAACGAGTGAACGAAGACCTCTTTGTTCATTTGGTTTATTACAAGGAGGGAGCTACCGGTGCACAGCTCCCTCCTTGTAATATGTAAGAATAGAAGCGGCAGGGAGCAGTGCTCCCCACCACTTCCTAAGCCCCCCATGTCCTCCCTCACTGTATGGGGGTCAATATGACCCCCCATTATATCATAAGGTAGAATAAACTCTCCGAATGCCCCTACTCGCTATGCTGCAAGTAGGGTCATGTCTACTAAACAGTGAGCACCCAGTCGCTGCTCACTGTTGTAAAAAAAAAAAAAAACACATCATGAAAGTTTGCTCTGGGGTAGTAACATATAATGCAACCAGCAATATCCCCACTGAAGTCCCCCAAAAATGTCATGTCTTATAGTGATATTTTCTCATACCTTTCCATCCTGTGCAGAGATTGAGCGAATCTAGTGCAGGAAGTGAAAGTTCTGTTGAAAGATTGAAATTGTAGATTTTTGGAAAGAAAAATTATCTTCAGACCTATTTTGATACCTGCATATTTATATAATTGTGCTCTTTTGCTGTTTGTATTCCTTTATTTTAGGTTAATTTTGAAGATGACTCTCGTGGGAAATATCTTGAGTTGCTTGGATTCAAAAAGCAGGAACTGGTTGCAAAGGTAAACTTTATCTTGTGCCCATTCTTTTAATTTTTGCATAATCAGGTTTAAATTAACACATCAAGTTTGACACAAAGCTCAGTATACATTTGAACAATATTACAACACAGTGGCTAAGGAAAACATTCCCAATTATGGATATTTAGGTTTTATAGAGCAGATTACAGCAGTGTCTAGGGCTTTTGGGATACTGATGATCATTATGGTTGTCTAGATATTAGGGATCGACCGATATTGATTTTTCAGAGCCGATACCGATATTCTGTGAACTTTCAGGCCGATAGCCGATATAATTTGCCGATATTCTGTACATTTACCATTTTGGAAAATAAAAACTATTTCTAAAGGTAAATGCACAAAATATACATGCCACGTGTAGTGGATGCAGTGTGACAGGGGAGCTGTGTGTGTTTGTGTAGTGTGTGTGTAGTGGATGCAGTGTGTGTTTGTGTAGTGTGTGTGTTTGTGTAGTGTGTGTGGAGGATGGAATGTGTGTTTGTGTAGTGGATGCAGTGTGTATTTGTCTAGTGTGTGTAGTGGATGCAGTGTGTTAGTGTAGTGAGTATATAATGAAAGCGTAGTGTGTGGGTAGTGTGCGTAAAGTGAATGCTGTATATACTAAATGCAAAGTGTGTGTGTATATAATGAATGCAGAGTGTGTGTGTATTTGTGTAGTGTGTGTATAGTGAATGTATTGTGTTTATATAATGCAGAGTGTGTGTGTTTGTATAGTGTGTGTGTATATAATGCAGTGTGTTTGTGTAGTGTGCATTATATAAACACACTACACAAACACACTGCATTATATACACACACTACACAAACACTGCATTATATAAACACACTACACAAACACACACACTGCATTATATACACACACTACATAAACACACACCGAATTATATAAACACACTACACAAACACACTGCATTATATACCCACACTACACAAACACACACTGCATTATATACCCACACTACACAAACACACTGCATTATATACCCACACTACACAAACACACACTGCATTATATACACACACTGTACAAACACACACTGCATTATATACACAGTGTGTTTGTGTAGTGTGTGTATATAATGCAGTGTGTGTTTGTGTAGTGTGGGTATATAATGCAGTGTGTTTGTGTGCATTGTATACAAACACACACACTATACAAACACACACTGCATTATATACACAGTGTGTTTGTGTAGTGTAAGTGTATATAATGCAGCGTGTGAGGGGGCATTTTTTATTAAATTATTTTAAAAAAAATTATATTTACTTTATTATTTATTTTTGTTGTCCCCCCCTCCCTGTTTGTTACCTGGCCAGGGAGGGGGGATATGACAGTCCCTGGTGGTCCAGTGGTATTGGCTGAGCTGGGGGGGCGGAGAGCAAGCGCTTACTCACCTCCCAGCAGCTCCTCCAGCTCCCCAGTGTAACTCTCGCGGCCAGCGTGTCGCGCGGAGCGTTGCCATGGTGATCCATGGCAACGCTCTGACGGCCGCGGGTCTCGCGAGAGTTACACTGGGGAGCTGCTGGGAGGTGAGTAAGCGCTTGCTCTCCGCCCCCCCAGGACCGCCGGGCTTGTAATGAGCCTGGCGGTCCTAGGAGGTATTATCGGCAATATCGGTATCTGAATTGGCCGATACCGATATTGCCGAGAATACCGAATATCGGCCGATTATATCGGTAAAACCGATAATCGGTCGATCCCTACTAGATATACACAGAATTCACTGAAGATATTTAAAAAGAGTTGGCCGGTAATTGGGATTACATAACAGATGAGTAGACACAGCTCCACTGTACGGAAATGGGTAGTGAGCCATGAGATTGGAGCTGGGGGGTAGGGTGTTTCAACTTAGGAGCTAGCATGGCCAGGGCGTTCCAGTTATCGGCCCTTTCAGGGCTCTTCGGTACGGTTGTACTGCATGGTAGGCTAGGCTATTGGTGTACACAAACAATAAAATAAACTGAAAACATAGTATTGGTTCAACAGCAAAAGAGTATATATAAAAAGAAAAGGTAGAAATTATGAGAGTCAGTAACCGCCGTCTTCGTTGCTGGAACAAAAGGGATGACATTAGCGGGATCCCAGATCGTGATTGCGGGTGGGTTGATGTTGTCTAGACCCAGCGCTGCGAGGGTGACTTCAAACTCCGAAGTGTCCTATATCCCCATTGTTCTATATTCTGGTGCTGAATGAGGAGCCGGCGGGGCGAACCCCAGTGGTACTTGATGCCCTTAGTAGTCAGGGCGGCTGTCAGAGATCGGAGAGATTTCCTCCATAGCAAGGTTGCGCGTGAGGAAAGTGAGATCCATGTCCTCAAAATGCTATGGGTATTTCCCCCTGGTCGCATTCAGAAACGCCAAAATTTTTTTTTTTTGCCTGGTTGTAGTCTGCTCCACAGCCTCCAGGCATGTAGTAAACCCCCTGACATCCTCCCTGACATGTGTTATTTCTGCTGAGTTTGGGTGGTATGGGGTAATCCTCTGGTGAATGGGGTAATCCTCTGACTTGTCGGAAAAGTCAGCTAGGTCTGCCGCCATATTAGGTCTATCCCCGCCTTGCTGTCTCCATAGTAGGTCACCAATATCTGCGGAATAACTGGGCCGATTCGCCCGTTTTTTTTTTTTTTTTAAATGTTATTTTTTTTTTTAATTATTATTTTCGCCCCATCATGGGGGAGATGCTTCCCAGTTGTCGGTGGGTTATTTGTGCCTTTTGGGGTGCTTTAAATCAGGTGATTTTTGTGATGCACCTGCGGTAGAAAACTAGCTCTGCCCCCCAGGTTTATTGGTTTCATGCATTCTAACTGAAACAAGCATCTTGCACACTGTTTTCATTGAAGAGTTACTCATTTGATTATTTTTATCACTGTATTTCAAAAATCTGCAAATTTGTGGTGCAAACAGATTGTTGTAAATGTGTTTTCTGTCATTAATTTGGTGTTTCAGAATAACAAAATCTACTTTAAGAGTAATTATTAAATTAAATTCCAGATTGCATCAGCTTTGAGCAATGGAGCTCTTACAGATGGAACACACGAGGTGAGCCCAACGAGCTGGAAAAGCCTTCTGCCACATTACACTAGTTTGTGGAGCATGAAAAACTGTCTATTTTAGTTATGCATTTCCAATTACATATTTCCTTACCATTGTACATGAATCATATTAACCAGCATGCACTTCACCTCTTCCTTAGGAATATATGCTCATGTTTTTTACATTTTACTTTTTATATACTCTGATTACGCTATAACTTCAGAGGTGGGATCGAGTCGTGATTACATCATTAATGCTTATTTGTGCTAGGTTTAATTTGAAACACTCAGAGAAATTATTTTTTTGGGGCACAAAAGAAAATCATTGTTGGGGCTGTGGTACTAAAAAGATTGTTTTTATATAATTAAGCTAATGGCTGGAAACTTTTTTTTTTTTTTTTAAATTTAAAAAAAAGAAAAAATCATTTATCTTACAATACAACCAGCACCTAAAGTTCATTCACAACCTCCACCTCCAAATTGTCCCTTTAACACCAATTCCTGTAGTAGTATGTTTATATAAAACATAAATTATATAATCTGCAGCGCAAGCATTCAGGTATTTTAATCTTTCTTACCCGTACCTTTGTAGTTTGTGTTTTCTTGGTGTTTTTTTTGCTTTTTTAAAAGTCTTTATTTTGTATAGTGCAAGTTTCCCATTAACACCTTCTTACCTTATTGCAAGCATGTCAAACTCAAAGTCTGGCACGGGCCACATAAACAATATTTAAGTTTACGTGGGCCGCAAAAAAAAAAGAATAACTTAAATTTTCATAGAAACATAGGTTTATTTTAAAAAGTACAGTATAAAAAAAAAAAGGGCAGCAAAGATGTCCATTGTGGGCCGCGAGTTTGACATGCTTGCCTTATTGGGTAAGCTTTGTGATATGCATTATTTATTCCTGTTTTACTGTTTTTGTTTTATTTTTTAATTTGTAAATGCTGATAATGTTCTGAAAGCTAACAACTCTAAAACTATTCCACTGTTTGGAAAAACAATACATTGCATGTCAAGTAGTGTAGGTATGTTTAATGTTACAAACATTTTTAAGTGGAAACGGACACTCTAAAGGCCTCTAGATTATTATCCTGTGTGATTGCATGCTGTATAATGTGTCATTATATATGTAAACCGTTATACACGTCGATAAAACATCTAAAATTGCATGTGCTGTATTTCTATGGGGGAAGCTTGTTTCTTTTTACTTCCCTGTGTCTTGTATTTCATTTAATCTGTACTGTTTCTTTAATCAAGGCTGTCTTTTCCTTTTTTTTTCCATTCTTTAATTCTTCAATACTATTTTATCATCTTTAATACAAAAAAAAAAAAAACATAAGGCTGTGAAACAACCTGACCAAGCTCTTGAAAGTGATGAGGAAGAAAGCCCACCTACAGAAGATCAGATCTTGGGGGAGGTATTTTTTTTTTTCTATTCTTTCCTTATTCTGTGTGCCTTTTGAACTTCCTTGATGATCTCTTTGAAGCTTTCACCATTGCTTGCAGCTTGACCAGCACAAAATATAGATCTACAATGGGATACCAGACTTTTGTTGAACGTTGTGATACTTGCCAACAGATATGTTATCTCTTAGTGTTTGTTGGGAGTATAGGGACCATCCAATTTTATGTTCTCTGAAAAGGAATGAAGAATACTGATTCTTTGAATGTACAGGGAGCAAAATAATGTATTAGCCAAACATAAATAACATTTTCTTCTCCATATATAATCTGAAATGTACATGGAAGCATGAACCCATATAACCCAGTTTACTTATCCCCAAATGTTTAACAAATATGTATTTGTAAGGTATAAACAATAAAATTAAATGTAGAAATCCTCATCTCTTTATCCACAAACTGGTTGCCTCCATCGTAGCTCCCTGTCCGTCATTGTTACAAGCTTTCTCCTATGCACCTAGCAGCCAGTCTAGAGAAAGCATAAAAAGAGGACATTAATTATGAAAGAAAATTAACCTTTTTTTTTCTTTTTTTTTTTCTTTTTCTATTTCTCCTCATTTAGAGTTTAAAAAACAATTTGCTGGTGTAATTTTCAGGGAAGTGACATTTCCCCTTCAATTGAAAATGTGCATATTTCCTTCCCAGGATTATTACTATTCTCTTGCTCAATTTGCAGGAATGTAGAATGGACTATTTCTGTATAATAAACAAAACATGAAAAAAACAAAAAAAAAACAAGTATTCTAAAAGAGAAGAAATAGAAATGGCTTGGCCAGTCTTTTGCCTATGTGTCCTTTGAAATACAGTGGTTCCTGTGTGTTCAAATTAATTGAGAGAACAGTTTACACACTTTCTCAAAGCAAATTTGCTTGCTTTTGCTGATTGCTAATGTAACTAAGTGGCTCTCAGATTATTCTAATTGAAAACACGTTGCTAATTCCCGTGGTGTATTTTCTTATCACATTATGTATTAGATTTCAAGCGAGGATAAAGAAGACAGTTCTGACAATGTTTTGACTGGTGAAACATTTAACATATCAGTGAGTGGAGGTAATACCACCTTTTATTACTTCCTACTTTGTAGTTTTTTTGGGTTTTTTTTTCCTCCTTGTTTCACACTATTTTATTTGTGTTATTTCATCAAAACTAATGCTTGTTCGTCTGGTTCTGCAAGAATTTGAAACAAACACTACACCAGTGTTTTGGCAACTTTTTCCTGTGGCGAGCTATGACTACTGTGATAATTAGTTGTGGTTTATCAGACATTGTGTATGTAATGCAAATTATTCACTTGACATTGTACTATATTATATTATTGTTATACTGGACTACAAGACTACAAGTCTATAAGCAAACTCTGCATTCTCTAAAATTAACATAAACTGAGCTGCTCAGTTCTAAATCCAATAACAATCCTTTCAGTTAGGCTCAGGCTTTAATGATGAATCACTAGAGCTGGTCTTGAATATTTCTTGCATGTTCAAAGCTTGAGAGACACACTGTAATAATTTGTAGACTAAGATGAACATCAGAATGCATGACTATGTCATACACATACAATAAAAATACTTCTAAAAGCATTAAAAAAAAATACTGTTCTCTCATGAATTCTGGTGTTCCCTTTTTTTTTTATTTTATCGCTAAATGTATTTTGTGTTGTGAGGAAAGTGCGGTTTTGGGTTTGTTTTTTCCCCAGCCATGTTAGGTCAATACTTTGGCATACTTAAAGCTACGATTCAGTGCAACTGTTTATCTACATCAATATTTCCTTTCCATTTTAGGCTGTTGGATAAACTTTTTGAATATTTTCAGAATATTTCAATGTCAAAAAACATAATATTTAAAATAATGATCAATCTAATATTTTTCTAAATATTACAGGATGTTTACATCAACCAAATTTCCAACAGTTTGTAGTTAAGGTGCTCATGTCACTATCTTTTGTCTCTGTAGATGTTGACGGACTGATCACTCAGGCCCTCCTGACTGGTAACTTTGAAAGCGCCGTTGATCTCTGTTTACATGATAACCGCATGGCCGATGCAATAATATTAGCCATAGCCGGTGGGCCAGACCTGTTGGCAAGGACGCAAACAAAGTACTTTGCCAAGTCAAAGAGCAAAATTACCAGGGTATGTATAATATAATAGATAAGTAGACAATATATTTGTTGCAGTGTACAAATCACCACATGAGGATGTGAATAATTTAGATTTCATTTTTACATGGTCTCCAGCATATATGATGCAAGTTGAGAGCTCTGCTTATTGTGAAGAAAAAATAATCTAATTTCATGCAAATATTGCTTTGCAGTTAAACCCTTGGCACTAAAACATTTTGGAGTTCAAGAACAACTGTTGGGTAGAATGCTGTTTTAGTGCAAGGAATAACCTAACATCTCCCATTGTAAGCATCCAAATTAGTTTAGCACGGTTGGAATTCTTACCTGGGCATCTGCCAGGCACCACTTCACTGCAGGAGGAGGTGATAGATGGAAGCTCCTGTTGAGAGCTTGCAGTGTAAGGCTGGCTTATCGGCCGAGAGTGTCAGCAGATCACTCTCAGCCAATGAGAGAAACCCTGCAAAACAGTTTGACTACTTACAATTTGGGCTCCAGGGCACCTCCACACCATAACTACTACTGCAAACTGTAGTATTTCTTTGGTGCTTGTATTGTTCTTTATCATTGTTAAATACAATTAGGATGCTGCAAAATACATTTATTCTCTATGATTTGACTTTTTAAAATATAATCCCAACCTTCCCCTCCTTCTACCCTGATATGTTTGACCTATAGTCTTTTCTTTTCCCCCCTCTCTCTCTCCCAGCTGATCACTGCTGTTGTGACCAAGAACTGGAATGAAATTGTTCAATCATGTGATCTTCACAATTGGCGGGAAGCTCTTGCTGCTGTATTGACTTACGCAAAGCCCGAAGAATTTGCATCTTTATGCAGTATGTATTCAATATACTGTCTGGTTTAATTGTTTCTTTGCAGTTGGATATATTTGTGTTTAGATATGAGATCCTGCAAGGTGGTGGTCTGTGATGCTTCAAATCCACACATTACTAAGTTAGTGTAAACGTTAGCTGTAAAATGTGTTTCCAACTAAAGCATTTCCAGCTGTCTTGTGTGAGTAAAATTCTGTACTCCAGTATGATGTCACATGCATTGTATGGAAGCAATATAGTTTTCTTACTGTAGCGCAATGCTATTTTAACTAAATCTGTCAACCACAAACTTAGGGTTGTCAAGGTTCCTATTCATTAAATAATGGATAGCTGGCCATACTTTGTACTAACATTTAAAAAAGAAAAAAGAAAATTTTAAAACAATTTTGTAGATGTACCTTAAAGAAAACATGTATGCATTTTGGCTGCATACTTTCTTCGAGGGGATTATGAAAAGAAATCAGCTTGCAAAATCTGTGGACTTTGCAACTCTTCTCTTCTTTCCCCACCACAGATTTTGAGTCCGCAACGATAAATACACCATACTGACCATGCTATCATGGCTTTCCCATGTTTCTCAATCAGCAGTAGTACAGCTCATTGAGAAGAAGTGAAGGCACACTCTAGCTTAGTGCACCTGCTACCTCCGTTAGCTCTTTGCTTTTTGGTAGCAGACGGGAACCTGTCCCTTAGCCAGAAAGGAATTTCTGTCCCCAATTCTAAAAGTGACCATTTCTATTGAAATTGTCACTTTTACAAACTTTCGCACATGTGACAGACTCCGGACACCCAGCTGAAAGGTTTTGTGTCTGTGGTTTCCCTTTAATGTGCAATCACAGAATGCATTGTACGAGTGCATATTCCATTGTAAAATGTAGAAATATACCCTGCATTTTTAAGATCTTTACACAGATCTTCTAGTTTGTTGGTTTTTTTTTTTTTTGTTTTTCCACTGACATTTTTTAACATGGTTAATTTGTTAACATGCAGTGGTTTTTTTTCACATATCTTTTTAGTGATACATACATTGCATATATTCGGATATTTAATTTTTTAAAAATTATTATTATTAATTTTGTGATATTACACTAGTTTAAAAAAAGTTTTATCTTGTCTTTCATCAGAACTTGTAGCGAAGTGATTTTCCTTTACCTTTCAGATCTCTTGGGCTCCAGACTGGAGAAAGAAGGGGATGTCCCTCTTCAGGCACAGGCCTGTCTGTGCTATATTTGTGCAGGGAATGTAGAAAAACTGGTAGCTTGCTGGACCAAAGCTCAAGATGGCACAAATCCTCTGTCCTTACAGGTCAGTTTGTGCTCACTGTAAGAAGAAAAATGATGGGGAATGATCTAAAAAGTTGATAAATGAGCTAGAATGTTCTAGTGTTTTCCGTTGTGATTGCTCCACTTTAGAATTTAATTTTTCTTAAAGGGACACTATAGTCACCAGAACAACTACAGCTTAATGTAGTTGTTCATGTAAACACTGCCATTTCAGGGAAAAGGCAGTGTTTACATTGCCCCTAGGGACACCTCCAAGTGGCCACTCCTCAGATGGCCACTGGAAAGGCTTCCTGGCTCAAGGCTACACAGTAAGCAGCCCTGTCATTCAGCGACCCCCATGGACGCTGAATTTTCCTCATAGAGATGCATTGATTCAATGAACCCCTGAATGGTGGGTTTAACACTATAGGGTCAGGAATACATGTTTGTGTTCCTGACCCTATAGTGATCCTTTAAAATGTCATTGTTTAGGGGCATAACAGAAAAGACTCTCTTACTTTCCTAGTAGCTATTAAATATGTTTCCAGCAACAATTTTTGTTTCTGTTAAAAATAAAAAAAAAATGTAATTTACACATTATCCGTATCCTTGGAAAGGGTTCACTTTTTGTAAAATTGCTTTAAAACAATTTGGCAGAAAAAAAAATTGGAACAGTACCTGTGGCCTCTTAGGATGCGATTACGATTACCTTTGTGCCTAGTGGCTCCTGCAGTGCTTCTGGAAGAACTGGTCCATATATGATTGCAAAATTTAGTTCTACTAAATTGGGTTAATGTACATGTTAGTGAATTTCTAACAATAGGTGTACTGTTTTGCTTAAATTACTGTAGTAAAGTAAAGCTATAGACCACACAAGAAAACACATACTCATTGCTTGAGAACCTAGCTGTCAATCTCTTGCATGCATAAATTGGCATTTGTCTTCCATGGATCAAATCTCACCAACTTGCTACTTTTTCTGGTTTACTGTATTTTGTATATTCAGTCTGGGAATCTAGAGTTCTCATGCACTAGACTTTCTTACGGCATTTATCCATTTTAATACTCCGTAGAAAACTCTGCGGTTACAACAAAAATACAAAACCCAAATCGCTCAGAGAACAAATGAATAACAAATATGTATGCAGACTCCGGGTCCATTGCAAACTGTACTTATTGTTCCTTTTGCACTTTGTTAGGATCTCATAGAAAAAGTGGTCATCCTTCGTAAAGCAGTGCAAGTCACGCAGGCTGTGGAAACACATGATGTAGGGGCCCTTCTGGCGGAGAAGATGAGTCAGTATGCAAATCTGTTGGCTGCTCAGGGAAGCCTTGCAGCTGCTTTGGCGTTTTTACCCACCACCACCAATCAAGTAAGGAAAATCTGTATTATTGTATTCATTTATAAATGCAGACTTTCAGAAACTACACTACTTTTTAATTAACGAACTAGCTGCTTCAGACTGTTTATAAAAAGAAAGAAATGAATTGGATATTTACATACAATGTTTGTAAAGTCTCTATGGATAGGACTTCTTAGTGTGAACAAAATACGAAGAACAGTGGATCACTATGTCATTTAAAAAAAAATAAAAAAAAATGGACTGATCGCCAAGAATGACAAATATGCCAAATTACACATCGTCATGCAGTAATCCAGAATCCAGTGCGTATTACAGTGATGTGTAATGAAAGCATACTTATTATTAGATTGTGTAACTTTATTAAATTATTTAATGTTTTAAATGTCCAGAGTGTTGTACTGTTAAATATTTCTTTTTATTTATTTCAATATTTCAGTTATATAACTGATAAGTTATATTTCTTTTTAATTTTTATTTTCAGTTTAAAGTAAAATTTAAAAAAAATTATAAATACATTTAAATTTATATATAGCTTTTTATTTTTTATAATTACTAGCAATTCTGCACAGTAATAGGTTTTCGGATTGTTTTTTGTTTCTGCTAGCTGAACATTGTGCAGTTACGGGATAGGCTCTCTAGGGCACAGGGAGTTGATGGAATAGCGCCATCTGCTGGTGTTACTACCAGAGGAGGAACAGCAGCAGCAGGACAACAGCGAGCACCAACTCGAATGCAAACAGGCCCCGATTCCCAGTACTATGCACAGGTATGCAGACTAGCACAATTCACCTTCACATGTCATACAAATGTGTTATGGAGCGAACGCTAAGAATCAATTGTGGATTTGTGAATCAGTATCTTCACCAATTGAGAAACATGACATTATGCTAACACAAGCAGTTTGCTTTTATACAATAATTTAGTATTTTCCATTTACAGGAGAGTAAAACCTTTGATGTTTTCTACTTTTGATGTAATTTTTTTTAGCCTGAAATTCAACTTTGTTTTAATATAGCAAAAAACATGTTGTTTGATCTGCTTTACTGTGATATAGTTATAGAAGGATGCTTTGATCACTCTCTTCCAATTTCTCTACGAAGGCTGTTCTAGTAGGTAAGTATCTGTGCCGACTTGCTAACCAGCTATTTACTCCTGAGCCTGAACATTTTTGTGATTTACTTTTTATTTATTTATTTCAAAGAACAGTGGTATTTTGGCCATGTTATGGGTTCTTTACATATGGATCCGAGACAAAAAAAAAAGCATGCACATACCCACCAAAGCAGGTGCTACTCTGAGGGGCACTTTCTTTCTTATCTCAGTTTTTCCGGTGATTGTTATTTCTTTGTTCGATTCAGGCTAGGATTGCCCCTACTGTCACTTCCTGGAGTAACAAAATCCCTACTGCCCTTACAAGCTGCACACCTGCTGCCTCCATCTTTGATACTCAGGTATTATATTGCAATCCAGAATGGATTTGCTTCTTTATTCCCTTGTTATAACTTTTGCTCTTGACTTTTGTTTTATTTATTCATTTTGGCATTTTACTTATATATAATTTTTGGCTGCTCTTGGAGCATGCATGTCCAAGCTATAAATAGTCTAATGTAGCTCAATAACCTTTTATATAAAATCGCAGCATTAGACATGTTTTAAAACCACTGTTTCCAGACACTTGGCCAATAAAAGTCCACTTTGTGTGGTAGCTGGAGGGTGAAGCAAAGGTAACTTATACTTACCTGAAACTCTTCCTCACTGGACCAGTATCCTCTTTCTTCAGGTCCTGGCACTTCATTTACTAAAAACCTGCATTATTGCTATACTGTCTTGCATGCGCAAGATTTTAACACTAAGGTAAACTGTCAATCCCTTGAGATCCTCCGTAGAAAATTCATGCTGGGGGGAATTTACCAAAATTAATGAATGAAGCTTTGTCAACATTAATGGCATTTTGTGAACTGGACTGTGTGTGTAGATTTCCTAAATCACAGACACCAATTGTTCTTTGCAAAAGTGTACAAATAGGGTATCACTGTCCTCAGGAGATGTTGCTGAGTATAGTTTAAGATTTTTACAGTGGGATTAAAAAAAAAGCAGAAAAATACATGTGTACAATTGATACCCCTAGTTTAAAAAAAAAAAAAAAAAAGTGAATAAATGGCACCTTAAAAGCGGCACTGTCATGGCTGAATTCAGTTTTTTTTTTTTTTTTTTAAACCCCCCTCCTGACTCCACTACATCTAATTGCTCCCCTAGTCAGTCTGCGCTGTGCCCTTCGCTGGGTAGAGATGGATTATTTTTTTAAGCGTCTCGATTTTTATTTTTTTCTGCTTTTTTATTTTTCTTTTGGCGCTTGGGTTTTTTAATTTTATTTTATAAGTTTGACTGGTATTATTGATTTTTATTTGGCCTTTTAGAAAAAAGACCTCAAATGGGTAAGTATTTTTACATTTATTTACAGGTATTTGGTTTTATTGTCTCCACCCTCACTATTTTTTTTTTTTATTTGTAGATTTTGTATTTCAAAAGTATTTACCATCGTAGAATAGGGGTACAGAAATAGAAGGGGGGGAGTCCATGCAAAAAGAAAAACATTTGCGTCTGGGGTGGCAATTGACATCACAGGTACAAGTACATATTTGGACAGACAAATGATACATAACAAAAGGGTTTGTCAGAGTAATACATTTCATACAATATTCATTTATGCGTCTAAGACGTGTACTCTCTCTAAGGCTGAGGTTCGAGTTTGTATGGTGATCCGGTGTGTCCATTTACTGGGATCCATATAGGGTTGTGGGCCAGAGGTCCAGATCGATGTCAGGGGTGTCGAGTGGGGAGTCAAAGTTGTCAGCCCCTGCCTACCTGTTTCGACACCCTCACTATTTTTAGGGTGAGGGGTGTAGGGTAGGGCTTTATTTTATTTTGGTGGGGAGGGGTGACTAGGGTCTTGGGGACCCCTAGTCACCTGGGGGACGAGGGCAATAGGTCCCTCTCCCCCATTGTCATTTAGGGCCCTCACCCGTCGCTCATGGGTGTGGCCTAGGGGGTGGTGGGGAGGACGACAATAGATGTGCAGTTACGGGATAGGGTCCCCCTCCCCCATTGTCATTTAGGTCCCTCCCACCCCCCCAATTTTAATTTAGAGTCCCAACCCGCCACTCATGGGTGGGGGCCAAGGGGACCCTATGTTCCCTGTTTAGTTGAATAGCTCCCACTTGCGGGGCACGGGCTCTGAGCACAGGAAATGGAGCACACTTTGTTCCTCCCCTGGTCATAGCTGGTCAGGTGTAGGACAAATACATAAGACAAAATAGTCCTTACTTTGTCTTATGTTTTAAAGAAAACTAGATCAGACAGGAAGAAATGAAGAAGAGAGCAAGAGAAGAGGAAGCGATTAGGAAAAGGTAAGTTCTGCATGACAGTACCGCTTTAATAAAGTTAAAAATATATCCTGTGATAGTCCCCATGGTGTCCACGTTTGCAAATAGCATGTATTTATGGAGTAATTTAAATATGTAAGCTACTAAAATACCCCAAGATCATAAACCACTCTTCAATTTGCTATGTTTTAAAAAGACCAAAATAGGCAGATTATAAAATCAACTCTGTATTTTCCCGCAACTACTTATTCGAAGTGGGTCATTCTGTACTCTGGAGATATATTTGAGCACAATTTAGTGTTTTTTTATTACAGTAGTACATATCAATTTACAAAATATACAGCTAAATTGCAATGTGCATCTGAAAAAAAAATACCTAAGACTTTAAAGAAATTAGTACTAAAATAGCTGTATAATAAGGTTTAAAATATACACAATGACCTACCCTGTGATGTCTACCTTCACAAATGGTATGCATTTATATTGTACTTTTAAGTGTCAAACTACAGCAATGCCCCAAAATGTAGACAAGTACCATCAAATCATCTATCAAAATGCTAAGTGTAAAAACTTATTTAGAGTCAGGTCTCTTATATGGCACTGTAACTTCATAGGATAGTGCCAAAGCCATACATTGCTGTTGGCAATCCTTTATTCAGAAAAGCTTGCTGAGCATAATTTGACTCAGTGGCACATATTAGATTTGTGCTTTTAGATTTGACTTTTATAATGCCTCAAAATGAGACATAAGTCTATCAAAACCATCTCTCAAATTCCAGCTATAAAAACTAAAATGGTCAGGTCTCTTATGACGCTGTACCTTCACAGAATAGTGGCAAAGTCATACATTGGAAGTATCATTGTACTCAGAAGATGTTGCTCAACACAATATTGGGTATTGTAAAGTAGGAGCACATGTCAGGTTTCGTAAACACACATAAAATAAAATCTTATGTGTGTGTTAAACAGAACAAAAAAAGCTATATTTCAAAATTCAATGTTAAACAGAGATTGGCAGTTATTAATGTTCGATAAATAGCCTGTGATGTTTAATATATATAATATATATTGTTTTTTCTGTGACGGCTTTTAAGCTTACAAGACAAACTTAGCACATTCTAAAATCGCTCCACATTTGAAATTATGTTTGACTTCTGGTATTTTGTGACCTGTAACAACCAAAACTGAATTCCTAGACTTATTATGTACTCGATAAATCAGGACAAATGAATTAATTTATTTTGAATTACTTTTCTGAAGCTGCACTATATATGTTTGGGGGCACTTGAAGATAAACCCTTAAATTACGGCGGAACAAAGCTATAGATCAAATTCAAGGTTTGTTTTGCTTTAGAACATGGACAATTACCTCTGTCCTTAAGGGATTCATTTAAGACTTCTTAGCAAATTGTTCAAAAAAGTCACAGTAAAGAACTATCATCAAAGGTGGTTTTATTATTAAAACCACAATGACCATTTCAGTGACTTGTATGTGCAGTATTCTGCTTGAAGCACTGCACACACCGAGATATTTCTACTTGTGTGCTGGATGCTAATTGCACCCCCAGCAAAAGTAATGTTCTGGTTTTCCAATGTCAATTCTGTGCATATTTTGCGTATTTTTTTTTTTTTTTTAAACCCTCCCGTAGCTTGCCCAGAGTGTGAACATGCGCTATTAGCTGATGAAACAGTCCAATCACAGGCTTCTCCATGTCAAGTTTGTCATTAAACTGTGCAAGGCCCCTATGACGTTGGAGAGGAGGAGCGGAAGTCAGCGTATTATTTTTCTCTCCCAGCTTATAATTCAATGCTTTGTTGCAATGCTAGTGAAATTTTTTTACACTTGCATTTAAAATAACAAAAACAAATGACAGATTTGCTTTTTATACTAGAGCAAGGTCTGTTTTTAATAGGGAGGAGCAGAGCCTTTTTACGTTATTTGACCCAGGATATATATTTACTATGCATGGTTTAAAACCTGAGGACTAATTAATCTACTATATTCGATGCAGATTGATATAGAAGTTAGTCTTTTTTTTTTTTTCTCAGGAACTTACTATTTGTCATTGAAAACCAATACATATTAGCAGAATAATTTATAAATCCTGTAAATCTGTTTGCTGAAAGGTGCTCCTCCACCTATTTCACTAACCATAACTTTAAAGTGAACCTGTCATTACTGATGTAGGTTTGCAGTTTTCTTGCCATCTGCCTTGACTCATATTATGCAACTGAGTGTTTCTTCCCTTGCTACTATTAAAAGTTCATGTTTAATGTAATTTCATTACCCTGTCATCTGCAAAGAGCTCAAATAGTCAGGAATGCATGTTTGTGTTCTTTTAAACAAGCTCAGTAAGTCCTATCTTTAGTCACCCCTTTGTGTGCACATATTTCTTTTTTTTGCCTTTTTTTTTTTTTCCAATGGTAGTTGAGTTGCACATAGCAAAGAGAAACATTATACCAAAAATCTGCAACCTGTAATCTACTAATTTCATTAGGATACCATTGAGATCAAAATTACTAACTATTAATAAAATACTATTACTATTAAGAGGTGAACATCTGGTTAAACATGAAAGGGACATAGAGTGTATAAAGTGGTGAACACAGAGCTGAGAATTGCCTCCTCTGATTTCACATTGTCTGTGATATTGCCATAGATGGACCTCCGTCTGTTAACCTGTTACCAGTTGTGATTGTCACCTGCAGTTCTGTATTTGTATGTAACCCTTGAAGAGATTTATGGGCAGCTTTAAGGTAGTATGAATATGCTGCAGAAAACTTAAAAAAATAAAATACATAGATTTGAACAGGGAGAAAACACATCACAAATATGTGGCCTAAACATATCAAATGTATTTGTTTGCCTGCAGTATGCCTGGTGTATTATTTTATCTTTTGGCTATTGCAGTTTGTTAAGGACATGGGTTGCCAGAAATCCTTGAAGTGGTCTGGGTGCCTATAGTGTCTCTTTAACATGCGTTTGGGTACTCACTCCAAATTCTCAGACCAATCATTCAGCTACATTTGATTCTATGAATGGTGATGGTTTAATGAGTGTGTATGTATTATCTTTTCAGAGAGACAATGCTGCCCCTCCTCCAGGTTTCAACATCCCAGGCACCGCTTATCCATCTGCTCCTGGTAAAACCGTACCTGCACCACCAGATTCTTACAACATGAACACTCAGATGGGACCTCGGCCACCATACCCTCAACGTACGTATTAAATACTGCTGCTCACCATCTGGGCTTCTCTGTGCTGGGTAATACTGGCAAACTGTATGACAACAAAAATATACATCCATACTTTGTCTTGAAGAAATAGAATAACTTCTGCAAATTGAAGATTCATCTGGGACTCATTTATTATGATTATTTTAAAATGTATTTATTTTTCATTGGACTGTGTAGAATTTTTTTGTATAATTCTTGGTGAAACTTTAAGATAATGCTGTTGCTGCCCAAGCTGTGTAAAAGTGCTAATTATATTTGGGCATATTTGCTGTTGTACAATCATCATGGTCTATTAACCATTGAGGCTATGGTAATCACTGTATCAGAGTGCACTCTAAAAAATGAGCAATTACTGTTAACTAACCTCCATCAGCTTTTTTTTTAGTGCCACCCACATGAATAGTGGTTTGGTAAAATTTGACGTTCTGCACTTGCACTTCTTTTAGAAAGTTGCAGCCAAAATATTATCAAGACAACAGATACCAATAGTGTCTTTTTAAAATGAAAATGTTCAACTATGTGCTAAGATAATTCATGCTCAAGGTTTATAACCAGCCAACCCATTGATTATATTCCTTCCCCACCCTCACTGTTTTTTTTTTTGTTTTTTTTTGTTTGTTTTTTTTTAAACAGAATAATGTCTCTGAAAAAATGTTTGCTGCTAAACTACTAAAAAATTTTTTATTAGAAGTCTAAAATCTAACCGTTTGTTTTCTTCCATTCTGTATAGCTTATCTACAGTCCCAACAGTATTCTTATGGCTCTGGGGGACCAGCTGTCTATCAGCCCCAACCAACTACCATACCTTCTGCCTCCCCCTACCACAGTAGTCCTTATGCCTCTTCTGCTCACTCTTCTGCTCAGCCGCCCTACTCTGGACAACCTCAGTCCTCTGCTGTACCATCACCTTCTCCTTCCTCCTTCCCCCCTCCTCCTGGAGCATCCTTCCAGCATGGCGGACAAGGAGCTCCTCCTGCATCTGCGCCTTATACAAATCCTCCTCCTGGAACTACAGGTACCTTGCCTGCCGCCAGTGAGCTGCCTGCATCCCAGAGAACAGGTCTGAGCATGAATTGGGGGGAGGTGGGAGCATGCAACTTACTCCTTACAGTGTTCAATGAGATACAGGATAGTAGGCCAAAATGTATAAATGTGTGCACATTGTGGGAGATGTAAAAAAAAGTAGCACTAGTGTGACATGCTTTGTACCTACATATACATAGAATAGCATTGCTAAAATCCAATTATTGCTTAAGAATTTTGTCTTGAGCAGTGTAGTAAAATTGCAACAAAATTGTTTTAAGTTTTATACTAGTTTCTTGCACTACAGTTCTGTGCCATCTACGATCTATTGTAATATGTAACGTATAAAATGTTATTTGTGTCACTGATAACGCCTGTTTTAACCCCTTAAGGACCAAACTTCTGGAATAAAAGGGAATCATGACATGTCACACATGTCATGTGTCCTTAAGGGGTTAAAGATCTGTACCATGTTGGTGCAAAGGCAGAACTAGAACTAAATTGTGCATAGATGTACTTTTTAAAGTAAATGTGAGGTAAATGCTTTCTTGCATAGCTAATTTCTCACATGTTCTAACATAACCGCTTCTTTCTTTTTTGAAAGAGTATCGAGCACAATAGTTAGAGATGTAAAGGTTGAACTTGATGGAATGAGAAAAAAAATCCAATATGTTATTTATTTGTGAGCCTTTATAGTTTCATATAGGTAGCCAATCATTTTGTATGTCCCCACCAGTCATTACTAACTAGTGAATTGCCCTGGACCTCGACCATTACATCAATTTAAAGATACCAACCTTGCATAAACAAGATTGTTGGCTGTAACGCTCTGATATGTGCATGTTTCTGTTCCACTGCATGTTTGCTCAAACAGAACCGCTCATTTATATGGAGTGAAGCATGCTGGGATGTATACATAGCAAGCGGTTTCCCCCCTCTGTATTGCATGCAATAACAGCAAAGACTTGGATTTCATCAGGAAAAAAAACTACCAGCTCCTCCTGCATATTTGCACCTCGATGAAGAATTCAGTTGACACCAGCTTTACAACTGAACCACTTTCTTTGAGGGAAAGGACAGTTGTATTTGGAGACACAGCATGAATGTCTGAGAGCACACTGGAGCATGGCTAAAAACAAACACTCCAGCTTGCTGAAGTGCTTTATGTGTCAAGAGTGTGTTCTCGTTTTCTGTTTTAAAAAAAATGCGATTTCAATGCGTGTTTATAAATGAGTTTTGTTAAACCTCCCGGCTGTCAATCAGACTGCTGGTCCTGATACTTCCTGGTAGTTTAGCTTCATGAAACTAAACTCAAGTGACATGCAATTTCCTTGTACAGACGTTTCATTAAGTTGTAAGAAAGCTCTTTGAGAAGTCTGTGATCGAACACCCACAGAAAGTCTGTACTGGGGAAGAACAAGAATGGCATGCATATTTTTTTGTTGTGTATACTAAATATTTATTTTTGGATGGGGGCGTTATGTAGTGTTAAGGAGTGCTCAACTTCAGTTAGTATGTTCTTATGCTGAATGCATGTCAAGTTCTGCTTTTTCTTGTAAGAAATGGCTGTTTAGTTTCAGCAAAATAGATCAGCTTGGAAGTAGGTATCGGCAGTGCCAACTGTTAATATGCTGGAGGAGCTGCTGGTTCTGTGTGTAAAACTTTCTCTTTCACAGACACCCTGTCTCTTAAAGATCTCTGTAACTTAAGCCAATTGTGTTTTCATAATTGTCACCTAGTGATACCTTTTTTTTGTTTTTTCTAGCTAGAAAGAAACTATAACTTAAAAAAAAAATCTATATATTCGACACAGGTTCAGCAATAAATCAGACAGTCAAACCGTAATCAATACCATTGTCAAAATAATGATATTGTAAAAAGAAATTGAAAGTACACAATAGTCCGAATATAACCAGTTATTACAGAGTTAATAACCAGTCCGCGTGGAAGATGGAGGTGTAGGTAATTGGCAAGTGAGTGAGGGCAGAATGTATCCTCCAGTTTGAGGTTCCTACCTCAAAGCAATTCTAAGGGGTGCCTTGCTGAATATTGAAAATAGGTGTTTGTGATCTGAATGTTCAACGTTTGTTTATCACTATGTAAAGAGGTATCAGTTCAACACATGTAAAACAAAGTAATCCGGTGGGCAAACGCCAAAGTTAAAGTCAGTAGTAAAATTTCTACCTATTAAATTGGTATAGCCAAGCTAACTCCACCTAAAGAATCCAGAAGGCCCTTAGCACCTTTTGTGAGTTCCAAATCCTCCTTCTAGTCTAGGATTTAATTGTCTTAATAAAATGACAAATCTCTTGAAAATCTATGCACAGCCATAGTTTGGAGATCTCTAAACAATACCATAAACAATGTAACCGGTCAGCCCCGTGTTGCGTCATATTGATGGAAGATTTCGGACAGCTGCAGGCCCATTGTAATTTGCAGTGAACAGCGAGTTCTTTTGTCGCAGGTGAAATAGCATCACTTGATAAATAAGGGTGCTTCATTATCTTGTCTTCTAAATTACGTTTGCATTTCATCTGCAGAATATCTCTCTGTTCAAGATATGGCGACTTACCTGCAAGGTGAACATTTACTGCAGCACGCACCGAATCAAACAGCAGATGCAATTTACAAATTCAGTTTTATTTATAAATTTTTACATATATTTTTGATTTATTTTTTTCCACCTCAGAAAATTGGTGCACATTTTGTGTTGCATTAACAAAATAACTGCATGTATAATTATAATGTGCAAAAAAAACTAAACTCTGCTCCCCATGTCTTTTGTTTTTCTTCTATCCCTTGTTCTGTGTTTTTTTTTTTTTTTTCTGTTACTTAGTTGTTGTCCAAGTGAACAAACCAGTGGCTTATTTGAAAGCAGTAGCACTGCATGCTAGTAGTGTTCAGATTTTTCATTTTGTTGTAGTGTATTTGAAGTGGAGTGGCAGGTTCCTCAGTTAATACATGTGGCTTAATCAGGGTTATAGTTAATTAGCTATAAAGGTACTTGGCGCCTACTTACCTTCACCAAATTGTCTATAAATATGCTGCAGACCATTCTCAAAAAGCCTGAAGTTTAAGATTAGTTTAAAAAATAAATAAAAAAATCACCTTGAGCTGTGATCAGTAAACATCATAATAGAATGAAATGTGCTTCCACATAAGCCATACATTTTTTCTGTGTTCTGTAACAGTACCTCAGTGCATTTATCAACAAATCTGAAATCAAAAGCAATAAAGTCAGAGTAATGCATTTTTAGATTTTTGGGCAGGGGAGAGAATGATCAGGGAATATATTCATTACTCTCTCTTTAAAGTTAAATTAATAGATGTTGATCAAAATTATTAAACTGGTGTTTTGGGTTTTTTTCAACAAATTTTAATTTGTACCATCCAATTCTACCAAACTGAATCCAACTACTAATTAAAAATTAAATGATTTATATAAATATATATGGAGAGCACCACTTACAATGCAACTATTGCAGATGTTGCAATGAGTATCTCTAATAATACAGAATATAGCCGTATACTGGCTGAAATACTAAATTTCCTTAATATAATTACATCTTAAGAAAAAGTGCTTGTTTACTTGCTGGTGGCACTGTGCCATTCCAACTGAACATATGCTAGAATAAAAATCACCTAAGAACAAACTGATTGTGGCATAATGCTGTGCCAGAATAATGCTTTTTTTTGTAATTTCGGTTTCATTTAATTATCATTTATTTTTATTTATTTTTCCTAAATTATGCAGCATGGCAACAAATCACATAACCGTGTTGGAGTACAAATTTAGATTTCCTTAACTAACACGATTCTCTTACAGGACCCCAGAATGGTTGGAATGACCCACCTGCACTGAGCAGAACTTCTAAGAAAAAGGTACTTGACTATTAAAAGTGGATTAATACCAGACTTTTCAATTAACAAACACATTCTTGTGTAAGTGTGTTTGTAAATGTATTGGGTGACTGATGCTGCCACACAGTCTAACATGCTGATTAATTGTCCTCCGGTAGATATCTATTGCTTTTTGAGTTGATTTTGTTTGGTCGGTGGGGTGGGATTTGGTTTTCTAATGACTGTAATTTGAGAAGCAATCTTGTCGATACAGCTCCTGCTATTTTTATTCCTTTGTCTTTGATAGAACATATGATGATTTTTTGACTTCTCAACCCTACCCTACTCCCCCATGCTCTTCACTGTTTTCTAAAGCTTAAAGCTAAATCTAACTTGTTTGGTAAAACTGGCAAATGTATGTTTAATAGTAAAGCATATCTGCCATGGGTGGGTGCCTAACATGATAATACGTGATCTGTTTAGTAATATATTTAGCTCAATGCAATAGTTTTGTTTCAATTATTCTTTTGGAATTTCTTTAATTAAAGGATTTTGATTTGATTTTCAAGTCTCCTTTAAGATAGATATTATTATTATTTTTTTACAAAGTACCAATAATCTAATTAAATTACTTTTTTTCAGCAGGTACTAGAGAATTACATGCCACCTCCTCCAATCACCGCTCCAATAATGAATCCTGTGTCCGACCCACGTTCTCAGCAGCAGCAGGTTCCAACATCTGTACCTCCTGTGTCATCAGTACCATTTCAGCCCTCAGCGGTACCTTCAGGGCAGCCAGGAGCTCCTAATCCTTTCCCAGCCATGACGCCTCATGTCGGACAACCAGTAGCACACCTTGATTCTTCAAAGCCCAGTGTGGATGCTCATCCAGGACTACCCATTGCAAACACCATGCAGGTTATATATACAAATATTTCATTTGTATTTTAATAAGTCTCCCTTCTTCAATAGATATTGTGTAGCCATATCCTTAAGCAACATTTGTATTACTGCATTTGAAAGATCACTATAGCCACCCATATAGAGTGAGATGAACTGATCTGGTTGTCTATAGTGTTCCTTTAAATAAAGTTTATTTTTGATGATGGAGCTGCTTTAAATTAACTATTCTGTTTGCAGTTGTGAATGTTTGATTAAAGTGTTGGTGTATGTAAAAGTATATATTTATTTACTCTGCAGACTATCCACTCTTTGCCTGCGGAAAAAATCACAAAGAATCCAATTCCCGAAGAGCATCTTGTTCTGAAAAGCACATTTGAAGCCCTTATCCAAAAATGTTTGTCCTCTGCCATTGACCAGGTATGTAATACATAGGGTTTTTTTTTTTTTTTTTTTTACTAGTGCTCAACTGTCTGAGAAAGCCTTGACAACATTCCCTCGAAGCTAGCTCTTGAAAGATGTTCTCTAAGATGAAAATTTTAATAAATATTCCTCTCGGGAATATGTAAATTCAATCTATGCAGTGACACTGTCTAATAAATATACAGTTTTTATGCTTAAAGGGACACTATAGTTACCAGAACTACTACAGCTTATTGAATTTGTTCTGGTGAGTAGAATCATTACCTTCAGGCTTTTTGCTGTAAGCACTGTCTTTTCAGTGAAAATGCATTGTTTACATTACAGCCTAGTGATATCTTCACTGGCCACTCCTCAGATTGCTGTTAGAGATCCTTCCTAAAATGCATCTATACATTCAGTGTCTCCTACCTCTGCATGCAGACACTGAACTTTCCTCATAGAGATTCATTGATTCAATTCATCTCTATGTGGAAATGCTGATTGGCCAGGGTTTTGTTTGTCAGTCTGAGCCAATCCTATGGGGAAGCATTGTGATTGGATCAGGCTACCACTTCTGCTGGCAGTAGTCAGCAGGCAGTGGGCAGGTCTAATGGAAACGGGGACAAAATAAGCAGCTGCAGACTTGAATACAAGTAAGATTTTACTTGATTTAGGGAGGCATGAGGGGACCAGGGTGGCTAAATGGTGGTTTTAACCCTATAGGGTCAGGAACACATGTTTGTGTTCCTAACCCTATAGACTCCTTTAATACTATAGGGTTCTGGTTCCTAATATTCCATACCTCCTATATAAATTAAAGTGTCTACGACATCGGTAAATACACACGCACTCTCTCTGACTACTTTGAGGTACACCTCATTATATAAATTATAAAGGCATGGTTGCAAGGTTTAATTATTTTCAAACAAACAGAGTTGGTTAGATGTGTTCCTAGTTGATTGTTGGTGTCACACATGTTGGTTACAGTATCTAAGTAGCCTGGAATATAAAAAGCTTCTAGTGCCTGAATAAAGTGTGGGTTCCCAACCACTTAAAATTAATTACGTTCCCTATTAAGGCCTGTTTACCCTGACATTCACAGATAAGAGTGGTATATTTAGAATCGCCCTCAACTGTGACACCATTGCGTCTGCGCTTAGTTCGGATGTAGCGCTCAGTAACCAAAACTAGAATTCGAAGTTCAAAGTGCTACAGCACGCTTGAGTGTACTCGTCCCGCCTTGATTCAACATCCAATCTGGCTATTAATGCTGCAAGGTGCCAAAAATGGTAATTACTTCAGACTCCTATTAAAGATACAAACACACCGGCGTGCATTATTAAATTGTGGAATATGAGTATCAAATATCACTGGTCATAGTCCTATAGATCCCTTTTAAGGTTTCTAATGTCACAATGGAAACAAATATTTCTTGTGCAAAAAGGCAAAAAAAATGTTTTTCAAAAACCAAATAGATATCCTTTCCTGTCAGATGATAGCATCCCAAAATGCCCTTAGAAACTCATAGTGAACTAAAACTGTTAATATAGTAAATAATATATATTATGTATTCAGGTACAATGTAACTCAATATTTGCATTATAAATAGTTACCCAATGACCACACATCTACTTATGTTATGACAGGTGAGTAAGTTATTTATATCATAGGAATCCATGTACAAAAAAAAAGAGCTTATCGAAAATAACGAACATATACTAATACAAACAAGATCCTTGTTAAACATCACATTATATATAAATAAACCTTATGTATTGTTTTCAAGTTTTGTAATAACATATGACAGTGATATATAAATATACGATGTGTCAAAATATTTAGAGGCTACTAAAGATGTTTTTATAGATACCCATATGATCTAAAGTATTCAATGGAAAAACATTATGTATATACCAAATGGGCACACCACTGAACAATATGAACAGTCAATAAATTCAAAGTGAATTTGAGGCTGAAACGGGAAAGTTTTCAAGTCCGCTTTTTTCATTTTGGACTGAAATTTAAAATTTAATTTGACAGTTCACACTTCAGTGCATAACCCAGTTAACCAATCAGCAACGGTTTGCAGACGTGGGATATTCTAAAAGCAGTTTTCTTTTGCTGTGTTCAGCAGTTGGAGCAGAAAATTAAAAATTTTCAGTGATTTTTAATTTTTTAATTTTACCAGCAAACAAAGAGGAAGTTGGATGAAGCAAACAAGCGTCTAGAGTCCCTGTATGACAAGCTAAGAGAGCAAACGGTAAGTGTTGTTTACCTCTCTGCTCTTTTTTTTTAAAATTTTTTAAATCTTCTATCTGCTCAATTTTATTTGTACGCTTATACTACCAGACTTGTTCAAATCACATCATTCACTTAACCCTAAATGTCTCTTTGCGCTAAATGTTTAATAGTCCAATGCTATACTACAGAGAATTGGTGAAAAAAAATAATTACCGTATTTTTCGCTCCATAAGACGCACCTCACCATAAGACGCACCTAGTTTTTAGAGGAGGAAACCCAGAAAAAAAAATATTCTGAACAAACTGTTCCATAGTGTTTCTTACCATGGGACAGTTTGTTCAGAATATTTTTTTTTCTCCCCTGTCCCATAATGATCTTTAACCCCCCTTTCCTCTGTCCCATAGTGATTGTTAACCCCTCCTACCCTGTCCCATAGTGATTGTTAACCCCTCCTACCCTGTCCCATAGTGATTGTTAACCCCTCCTACCCTGTCCCATAGTGTTCTTTAACCCCTCCTCCCCTTGTCCATTAGTGTTCTGATCCCATAGTGTCCCCCCCTCCCCTTGTCCCATAGTGTCTCCCCCCTCCCCTTGTCCCATAGTGTCCCATAGTGTCTCCCCTCCCCTTGTCCCATAGTGTCTCCCCTCCCCTTGTCCCATAGTGTCCCCCTCCCCTTGTCCCATAGTGTCTCCCCCTCCCTTGTCCCATAGTGTCTCTCCCCTCTTGTCCCATAGTGTCTCCCCCCCTCCCATAGTGTGTCCCCTCCCCTCCCTTGTCCCATAGTGTCTCCACCTCCCTTTCTCCCATTGTGTCTCCCCTCCCTTTCTCCCATAGTGTCCCCCTCCCTTGTCCCATAGTGTCTCCTCCTCCTTGTCCCATAGTGTCCCCTCCTTGTCCCATAGTGTCCCCTCCTTTTTCCCATGGTGTCCCCTCCTTGTCCCATGGTGTCTCCTCCCTCCTTGTCTCAGTGTCCCCCCCCTCCTTGTCCCTTGTCTCCCCTCCCTTTCTCCCATAGTGTCCCCTCCCTTGTCCCATAGTGTCTCCTCCTCCCCTTGTCTCATGGTGTCCCCCCCCCTTGTCCCATAGTGTCTCCCCCTTTCTCCCATGGTGTCCCCCTCCCCTTGTCCCATAGTGTCTCCCCTCCCTTGTCCCATAGTGTCTCCCTTGTCCCATAGTGTCTCTCCCCCCTCCCCTTGTCCCATAGTGTCTCCTCCCCCTCCCCTTGTCCCATAGTGTCTCCTCCCCTTGTCCCATAGTGTCTCCCCCTACCCTTGTCCCATAATTACTTACCTGTCTTGGAGCGTGGGCCGGCAGCACAGCGCGCTCCGCGGTCCAGGAACTTCTATTTCAGGTTCCGGTTTCCGGCGGGACTGAAAGGAAGTGTGCACACTGTGCACTTATTTTCAGTCCCGCCGGAAACCGGAACCTGAAATAGAAGTTCCTGGACCGCGGAGCGCGCTGTGCTGCCGGCCCACGCTCCAAGACAGGTAAGTAATTCTTCACATTCGCTCCATAAGACGCACAGACATTTCCCCTCACTTTTGAGGGGAAAAAAAGTGCGTCTTATGGAGCGAAAAATACGGTACCCTAGCAGTTTCAAATATCTTCCTTATGGGTTCCCCCTCCTCCCAAAAAAAAATTACATGTAGTTAATATCTTAATTTTGTGGGTAGTTTCTTATGTTTTTTGCAACATTGCCCTTTTTAATCTTGCAGTGTTGCATTTAATGTTTGTCCATTTTATTTTCCACAATAATTCTGGCTCAAAAATCACAATTTCACTTTAATAGCTACTAGAGTCTCTGTGACTGGTAATGGCCTCTTCTCTGGGTGGTGGCTGAAGATGTACTCCTCCTGTTGGTTTAATTTGGAGATCAGTCACCTGCTGCCTCAACCAGCAATACAGAAGCTATCATAGAGACATGTTCTGGCATTTTTTTGGTGTGTGATAAAATTGAGTATTACAGTTCCTTGTCTTAAACTGATTCTTCTTAGGCTGATGAAATCATGAGCAAGTGTATATATTTAAAGAAATAATATTCTTATCACTTCCTGTACACTTTCTCCACACTATGGCAGCTGCATTGCAGAAAGATCAAATTACATCAAATATTAGACTTTTCAGCTCTGCACTTACTAACTAGCTCATTGTATAAATTAAACTGAACAATTAAAGGATACCAACTTGGTTTTTCACTCATGCAGTTGAGATGGAATTTTATTTTTACATTTTGCTAGCAGTTTTGGCAGAATTTTTTTTTTAAAAATAAGTTTTTCTCCCACTTCTCAGTCAAATCATTGACATAAACTTAATGCCGAAGAATTGAGACAAGGGAGAGCAGAATAGACCGCCATAAGAAGCTCTGTAAACACCCTATATTCTAGCTCTGGCTAGGGAGTATCGGAATGGACATCACTCCGTTCACTGGGTATGAGGCCAGTGTGTTGCCATGAGTAAATGTCACAGACATACATGATGTAATAAATGTAAAATAATGATATGTCATGTATTTGGGGCCTATCTTTCTAATATTACATTTTATGTACAGGTTCACTTTAAAGTGACACCACAACATGGTAGGCATGACAGATTTAATGACACATTAAAATATGACACACTTTAAAAGTTCTATGCCTCTGGGTTGATGGAATTTGAGACAGTTTCAATGTGTTTCTCTGTCAGTAAAATTGGATTGAAAAGTACATGAATTTAAATCAGCCTTGTTCTCCTAACCACCTATTTTTTATTTTCTTGTGTTTCAGCTCTCCCCTGCAATAATTGCAGGTCTGCACAACATTGCCAGAAGTATTGAGTCTCGGAACTACATGGAAGGGCTAAATATCCACACCCACATAGTCACAACCAGTAACTTTAGTGAAACATCTGCCTTCATGCCAGTACTCAAAGTTGTCCTTACCCAAGCCAATAAGCTCGGAGTGTGAAATCCTTTCTCCACAACCTATTGCTCCACAACAAAAATGCAACTCTGCACCTTGAGCAAGAAGACGGACCAAGGACTAGCATGTTTTTAAACTTCCAGAAATCCGTTCTGACTTTAAATGCAACATAAAACACCACAAATTCCTGCATTTACTCATTTTTTTTTTAATGTTGGGAATTATTTTTATTTCTCGTAATAGTATTTTTTTTTTCTCCTCCAAAGATCATATAACCTCATGGATTATTTACAGCATGTCAGAATTACAGGGGCCAGTAACATATTTTACAATACCTGCCGATGTTCCTTTAGTTTTGGCTCACATTTTAAAAAGGTAGTGGTTGCAGAGATTAAGGCAACATTGCCAAAATGTGTCTCATAGAATAAAACATGTGATCCCAATTTAAACATCTGGTTTATTTTCTTTGTTGTGCACTGGAAGGTAATTACAGTGTTCAGGCCATATTTAAGACAGAAAAAAAACGTATTGCTTTTTTACATCCAAGCACAAGTTTATTCTCTTTTAAAAGCATAATTCCTATGCACTTGGATATAGAGAGGACATTATTTACCATTGAAGGTGTATCTAAGCAGTTTTATAAGAAAATGGTACATTGTCAGAATGTCTGGAACTTCTCTTACTGGAAAGTTACTAGAGGAGGGTAGGAAACCTTTGGCACTCCAGATGTTGTGCATCAATTTACCCTGATGCTATGTCCGCATTATAACTGTAAGAGACTTATTGAAGATAATCCACAACATCTGGAGTGCCGAAGGTCGGACCACTAACCAAGTAATCTGGATTTCATAACAGACACAAGGTGGGGTAAATATTATACATTTTAAAATTTTGCTGAGAAAACCAAAAAGTGTTCAGCTGGAGGGCCACATAGTTTCTAGCTTGATCAAACAGGGATTCTGAATGTGTTACCACTTCTAAAACTACTGTCAAAAGGGAATAAAGATCCATTAGGATTAATACTGAAAATCATGATTTTCTTCATTATCAGTTCATTTTTTTTAATACAAAGTAGTTTTGCGGACAGATTCTTATAATGTTATTATTTTTATTTTTTTTTTTAACTGAATTAATCTTGCAATAATTTCACTTATTGCTGGGATCAAAAACCCAAGAAGGCTTTCTGTACCACACATCATGTATAAACCTATTAGGCAAAAGATCCGTGCCCTTTCTCTCTTGCTCACCATCATTCCAACACACTTTCTTCTATGTACTTTTCATCTTTGCCATGCATAGGAATATTTTAGTCTGGTTCCAACTGCAGGACTGTAAAGCAAAGTGTGTGATTTAATTTCTTTTTAGCGTGAACGTTCACCTGCCTTGCAAACATGAATTGTCACATAATGTAGATGAATTATTAAATAAAATAAAAAAATACATGCTGGTTTTCTTTGGGGTATACTAGACAGTTACAAATAAAAGTAAAACAAAATCAATGGAGTGTTCCTTTAAGACTGTGGAGTTTATTCTTCACTTTCTGAATTTTGATCAGATTCACAGAATTGATACAAAATTACTGAAATTGGGATGCATTTTATACAGATTTGCCTTTAAAAAAATATGGTGTCTGCTTTCAAATCACTGATTTGCATATGCAAAGCCTATCTAAAATATAGGATTCACATATTTATTTGGATTCACTCTAAATCTAGTTGAAGCGAAATTCACAAAATAAATTCACCAGTAGTTTGCTGGCAAAACTGTTTAATCTGGACTATCAGGTTACTGGCAACTTAACGGTATCTGCATTGATGGTTGTGTTTCTCTGTCATTAAATAAAACAGTTTTGCATACCAAGATGCACTGCCTCTGTTTTGGATTTAGTACTTTTTCTAATGCATAAATAAGCAAAAGCAGCACGGAAGAATTCTTACAGGACATTTTTAGGTTTTATAAGTTCATACCTCTAATAGCACTGGCAACATCAACAGCCAGCAGGCAAATAGTTAAAAACTAATTAGCAATGTGACAATTTAAGAAATATGACAGCTAGCCAGCTCATGCCGAAGGGGTTTTAACTATTTGGATGCTCCAAGAGAGTAGAGACCATTCAGAGGATCCCAATGCCTGTTACTAAGAAGGAGTTGCTCACCATCCTTGGCATCCTCAATTATTTTTTTTTTTTATCAATATCCTTTTATTGTGTAGAAAAGAGTGAAAGCAGATTCAATTTTGTATGGATCCCTGAGTGTTCTCACTATGACTCCATGTTACGAAAATCAACCACACCCGATAGCCCTGATATTGTCTGTTGGTCCCCAGACATGAAAAATGCATTTTTGTTTCTCAAAGTGTCTATTGTTCAAGCTCCGGCTCTGGGCCTGCCACTGTATACTAAACCATTTCATGTATATGCTAAGGACAATTGTAAAACCATGGCTGCCGTCTGTGATCAAGAGCATGGAGGAGGTTTACGCCCCATAGCATTCTTTTCCAAAGTCATGCCCATACCCGTGCAAGGAATGCCGGCCTGACTCCGGGCATTGGCAGCATGTACCATGGCAGTTGAAACTGCTGCTACTATCACTCTGGGACACCCCACTATTTTACATACTTCACACCAGGTCCAGCACTTACTCAAGCACCTTACCACACAACACATGACAGCTCAACGCTGGCTATGAGATCATTCTCCTCAACACACAGAATTTATCCATTGTTTACACACCACAAGGAGCAGGCCTCATGGCTGTCTTACATGCTATTCTCTCTTCCTCCTCCACTTCTACCTTATCTCCCTCTGACCCCCCTTCAAACTTTGACCCTTTTCTTACACACAACTGTCTGGACTCTATCCACCATCAAACTTCTCCTAGGCTTGACTTATTATCCACCCCTCTCCCTGATCCAGATGCTGAAAATATTTTTGTCGATGGTTCTTGCTCCTGACCCTCAGATGGAATTTACCTTTCTGGTTATGCTGTTGTCCAACTGCCTGACTTCATTCTTGAATCAGGCTCACCTCCATTCTCCTCTGCCCAATCATGTGAATTGTTTGCCCTTACACGAGCATGCCTCCTGTTTCGAGATAAAAAGGTTAATATCTATACTGACTCATGCTATGCTCGTGGTATGGTCCATGATTTTGTCATTTGACAACGTCGTGGTTTTGTGGGTGCTGATTGCAAACCTATTGCCCACGGAGCCCTAATTACCGATTTACTTAATGCTATCAAGGCCCCCTTATAGGTTGCCATTATCCATTGTAAAGCACATACTCTTGGAAAAGACTTTGTCTTACAGGGCAATGCCCTGGCAGATAAAGCAGCAAAAGAGGCTGCTCTTGTTTATCCTACAGATCCAGGAGGTAACACTCATCTAGTTGACACTTTTCCTCTTTTACCACCTTCATGCCCTGATGTCTCCCTACTCTCCCAATTACAATCATTTGCCACACAAACTGACCTGGACTTCTGGAAAACACATGGTCTGGAGAAAGATCATTTTGATCTTTACGCCAAAGAGGGGAAGATAGGCATCCCTGAGGCTAGCTCAGCCATTTTTATTAGCCAGGCACATGGTACGGGCCACAGAAGCATGGCGAACACCATGAAAACCCTGCAAGATTCTTTTTACATTAATAACCTTCGCAAACATGTTCAACAATTCTTACAATCATGTGAACTATGTATGAGAACCAATCCAAACACACCCAACAAACCGCAGCATGACCACCTTCCACCACCTACTACACATTTACAAATCGATTTTACCCATATTCCAAGAACAGGGAAACACCAACAATATCTACTGGTCATTGTTGACCAGTTTAGCCACTGGCCTGAGGCATTTGTAACAAATAAAGAAGATGCCAAAACGGTAGTTAAAATTCTAGCTACAGAAATCATACCACGGTATGGATGCCCATTACAGATTAATTCAGACAATGGGCTTGCATTTGCAAGTAAAATTACACAAGAATTGGCCAAATGGCTTCAGATTACATGGAAATTCCATATTCCATATCATCTGCAGAGTTCAGGGGTAGTGGAAAGAATGAACAGAACTATCAAGGAAAAATTTCTTAAAGCTACTGCAGGCACATGGGTGAATTGGACTAAATATCTTCCAGCTATGTTAGCTGAGATAAGAATGACTCCCCACAAGGTGACCAAATTATCTCCTTTTGAGATCCTTATGGGACGCCCTTTTTGGAGACATTTATTGGATATGTGGAGATATGAAAATACGTTCTAGACTCCCCACCCCCTGGAGAGGAGAATGTGCCCCAGCCAAAATAATCATGCCCCTCCATATATTTGGCGACTCTCTCCCTGAAACTAAGGTTGTAACTAATTCCACAAGAAGGAAAAGTGAAGCCCCACAAGGTAGTTTCGACCCACATATATATCTAGATGCCATTGGTATTCCAAGAGGGGTCCCTAATGAATTTAAAGGTAGAGACGAGGTGGCAACAGGGTTTGAATCAATTTTTCCCATTATAACAGATAACAAGAATGTTAACTGGATTAATTATATATATTATAATCAGCAAAGATTTGTAAATTACACACGAGATGCACTACAAGGTCTTGCTGAACAATTACAGGCTACCTCACAAATTACTTTTCAGAATAGAGTGGCCCTTGATATGATTTTAGCTGAAAAGGGAGGAGTCTGTAAATTACTTGACTCTGGTGTTTGTTGTACCTATATTCCAGAGAACACTGGCCCTAATGGTAAAGTAACCCTAGCTATAAAGAAATTGGAAGACCTGTCCATAGAAATGAAGAGGATCCTGGACATGGGCTTCAGATGTCGTATTCCTCTTCTCAAGCCGCTTCTGAACAACAAACGTCAGAAGCGTCTTACCTGGGCTAAAGAAAAACAGACCTTGTCTGTTGCTTAGTGGTCCAAAGTCCTCTTTTCTGATGAGAGCAACTTTTGCATCTCATTTGGTAACCAAAGACCCAGAGTCTGGAGGAAGATTGGAGAGGCACACACTGCAAGATGCTTGAAGTCCAGTGTGAAGTTTCCACAGTCTGTGTTGATTTGGGGAGCCATGTCATCTGCTGGTGTTGGTCCACTGTGCTTCATTAAGTCCAGGGTCAAGCAGCCGTCTACCAGGTGATTTTGGAGCACTTCATGCTTCCTTCCGCGGACGAGCTTTATGGGGATGTTGACTTCATTTTCCAGCAGGACTTGGCACCTGCCCACTCTGCCAAAAGCACCAAAGCCTGGTTCAATGACCGTGGGATTACTGTGCTTGATTGGCCATCAAACTCGCCTGATCTGAACCCCATAGAGAATCTATGGGGCATTGCCAAGAGAAAAGATGAGAGACATGAGACCAAACAATGCAGAAGAGCTGAGGGCCGCTATTGAAGCATCCTGGTCTTCCATAACACCTCCGCAGTGCCACAGGCTGATAGCTTCCATACCACACCGCATTGAGGCAGTAATTGCTGCAAAATGGTCCCAAACCAAGTACTGAGTCCATATGCATGCTTATACTTTTCCGAGGTCCGATATTGTTCTATGTACACTCCTTGTTTTATTGATTGCATGTAATATTCTAATTTCCTTAGATTGTAGATTTGGGGTTTTCATGAGCTGTAAACCATAATCATCGCACTTATGACAAATCACGGCTTGAACTATCTTGCTTTGCATGTAATGCGTCTATCTCATATATTAGTTTCCCCTTTTACGTTGCATTACTGAAATAAATGAACTTTTGCACAATATTCTAATTTCCAAGCACTTGCATAAATACTCTGAGTTGTGCAGGAAACTGTGCTGTGTAAGTTTGCTATCATATAGCAGGGCCTGCAAAAGGAAAAAACTAACTTTAATGGTGTAAGCAGACATGCAGCATTATTTTCCAAACTGGAAAAATGTTAGGGATTCACAATTAATATTAAATTTAAGGCCAAAGTAGCCGAACTGGAAAAATGATCAGTCGACAATGCTTCCAGTTCTACTTTTTCCTTAAAGGAACTTTTTCCTTAAAGGAACACGCCGGCACCATAACAACTTTATTGAAATTAGGTTGTTATGGTGCCAGGATGCATTTGGGCTTTTTCTTACCCGAAGGGGTTCAACATTTCAACCCAAATATTTCTAAAAATAAATAAATAAAAACTGCAATGTTTTAGATTGCAATGTTAAAATGACAGAACCACTGTACCACAGCCACTTCATTAAGATGATGTGGTCTTGTTGATTATAATGTCCTTTTAAATAGGAAGTCTACTGGTATTTAAAATGGGATTGCCGGTTTTCTAGAAATGACAATTCCTCATTCCCTCACCCCATGAAATATTATTGAATGAGAAGGCCATAACATCCCTTAAGGGGAATAAAGCTCCAGGCCCCGATGGCTATGAAGGAGCATACTATAAAACCTTCCAAAAGGAGCTAATACCCCACATGACAACATGGTTTAACGACCTAATGAATGAATGAAAAAAAACTACTATACAAAATAACTCTAGCAGATAGACGAGCCATTGCACATAACTGGCTCAAGCCCAAAATACCCCCATAGATACAGTAATACACAAACTGAAACACTCACCTCATAGATAAATTAACGGCACAGGTCAGGGGTACAATGAATCATATGAGAAAGCGTGTGAGCTCTGGATGGTTGGAGACTGGGGAGATTAAGGGGACAAAGTTGGGGAGGTGTAGACGTCTCGCCTGATGTTCGGCCCTCTGACATCTCCTAGGCCAAATACGTAATATACACTACTCAGACCAGAGGCCTTTCTCACAGGATCTGCCTATCCTAAATTGCCCTCATCGAAATATAGCTACAAGAGATGTTAAGAGACCATAAAATTCGAATCTCCA